TGATTAATTTAATTTAATTAAAACCCCATCCCAGAATCTGATTAGCTACAGTTTAACCCTAAATGAGCCATACATCGAAGGAATTTTTCAAATGTCGTCTTGACAATATTTCAATGGATTTTATATACTTTTTCACTTAAACTTCAGTATTTGCGAAAATAAATAAATATCCATGAATATGCGGGAACAGTTTTAAAGATCTCCTAATCATTTAATTAAAAACTAAATATCTACAACATTCCATTATCAGATGGTGAAGAATATGATTTATGAATTCTCTCGATGTATGGCTTATTTAGGATTTAACTGTATTAAATTATTTTATGATAAATAAACTAATACTAATTTATCTATGATAAAATGATCATAATTATAATTTTCTAATAAAATTATTGATATGATATTTTTGAATTTTATAATAATTATTTTATGATCAGAACTGTAGAAGCAGCTGATGCTTTGGATAAAGCTAATTATCAGCTGTTTGGTAAACTCATGGTGGAAAGCCATAACTCATTAAGGTACCAAAACAGCTAATTATCAGTTTTTTTTGTATTTTTTTTTCGGAAAAAGTTGTAATTCAAAGAAATCAGAAAATAACTCCGAACTTCTTCGTCTTTTTTTTCTTAATATCGGTTATACTTATTCTTATATAGATATAGCTTAAAATATCATTATATTTTGTATTTCTATTTAAGGATTAAGTGAAAATATTTGATATGAACTTCATTATTTTTATCTCACGTTCAGATAGGGGTTTTAATCATTTTTAAAGACGATCGAAAACATTTTTTGTTTCCTTTTTCGTTTTTTTTTCTAAAAAACGTACGATCGTATCGTTTTTAGAAAAAAACGATGGGCCACAACGAAAGGGCCATTCGTTTTGAAAAAAAATAACTATCGTTTTTTATGAGATCGTTTTTTCCCGACCAAAAAAAAATAAAAACGGCCAATCTTCGTTAACGAAACGACGAACTAAAACTAAAAATTAATATATCGTTTTTTCGTTTTTCCTTCGTCGTTTATAAAACGAAACGATAGTTTTTTAAAAGAGTACATAGCGTGAAACTTCTTAATTAATGAAATTATGAATTTTAGAGATGATTTCGAGGTTTCATGTCCAGAACTAGATCAACTTGTAGAAGCTGCTCTCAAGGTACAATGAGATCCAAAAAACTGTGAAATAGGAAGACGATATTTCAGTAATATTAAGTGTATTTATTGTGGTTACAACGCAAATAGTTTTGGCAGTAGGTTGAAAATAAATTTTTAAGTGAAATGGCCGTCTGTATGCACTCCACAATTGCTATTTCTCATGTCAATTGAACTATTTAAAATCATAAATTGAGTTTTTAAGGCGTCTTCCAATTCCGGAGTTTCTGGTTCTCATTGTAGTTTTAAAACAAATAACTTTTTCATAAATTTCAAAAATTATTAATAATGTATAATAATAAATGGGGTTCGTTTCTTCCAATGTTCTAACAAGTCTTCTATAAAGTATCTATAAAAATGCCATATATTTGCAAACAATTAGTTTTTGTTTCTTTTGATTAGATAAGTTTCTAAGCATTGTATAATCTGTAACAGTTAAAATTATCAAAAACTTTGAAAGAATTAAGAAGATAATTATTCAGAGATCCGAACTTTTGAGTGAATATAGTCCTAATCTTGAATGCTTAATCTTGATATCTATGTGGGCACTTTTAAATTTGAGAATAAATGTCTGATCTGTCAATTAAACTGAGTTCACCAATTAATGACCATTAACCATCACAATATGACGGGATATCGAATTAAACTGATTTCACCAATTAATGACCATTAACCATCACAATATGACAGGATATCGAATTAAACTGATTTCACCAGTTAATGACCATTAACCATCACAATATGACGGGATATCGAATTAAATTTATTCAATCATCTTACATACAGTGAAACCCTTAATAACGAATATATCGAAAGAATTCATCAAATGTCGTATTCTTCACTTTCTGATAATGGAATGTTGCAGATATTTAATTTTTTTTAAATTAAATGATTATATGGAACTCTTTAAAACTGTTCCTGCATATTCATGGCTATTAATTTATTTTCGCAAATACTGAAATTTACGTAATATAGCATAAAACTCATTGAAAAATTGTCAAGACGACATTTGATAAATTCTTCTGATGTATTCGTTATTAAGGGTTTCGCTGTATGATGGAGATCAATGCTTGAATCCGGGATTTGCAACAAAAATATTTTGACTTCTTCTATTTTTATGTAACCTCTGTGAATTTTAACATTCTCAACTCAACTATATACATTAAAATCATATAATGTACTCGCTTTTTTATCCTAATCAATCTATATAGACATTCGTATATATATGTTGCCTATAGCCGGCAAAATGGCTGGACCGAATGGGCTGAATTTTTTTTGTTGGCACTCATGGGTGGCAGGGGGGTGTTATAGGCTAAACAAATCGAAATCATTTTTTTTCAAAATTTTTTAAAACATTTTTTTTCAAATTTTTTTTCAAAATTTTTTTTTCAAATTATTTTTTACGGGCAAAGCAGAGCCCTTCAGCTAGAAAGTATTATTTTTAATACTATTTGTTTACATGTAACTAGTTTGTAGAATAGTATTTGTTACATGTGTTGTCCATGTTATTAAAGAAATGTAAAAACTACTTCACGCTCTTATTTAAAAACTTACACTGTAAAATATCTCATAGGTATCAAATGAATCCTAAAGTTTTTCTCTACAATACTGCACTTTCAGCTCAACTACCATGTATAGCCAGACACTCCCTTTAATATTTTCTTTAATATCCATTTTAAGATTGTGTACTGCAGGTAGATGGTGTGTATGGAAGTAGAATGACCGGCGGGGGATTTGGAGGTTGTACAGTGACACTTCTCAAGCAGGTCAGCTTAAATACAGAAATACTAACTTAGTATCAGACTTTAGAGATGACTGGATGGATATTTGAACTATTATTTCATACATTAATGACTCTCCGGCCGTGTAAACCTTTTTTCTCTTGTTGACAGATCATATGTACATTTGAAGACTATCTTTTTTGATTGTTAGCTTGATGGGACTTTAAAGGAAAAATGAAAGGGGGTATAGGATGGAACCTGAGATTCTCAGGCGTTGAAGGATACATATAAGACATTATATCATGTTCCTGTCTCCAGATATTGTATTAAACAGATCAACCAATCTGAAAAAGATTATATCCGACAGGAGCTTGAGAATCTCAAAGGAATTGAGTCTTTGCCACAAACTCTGATTTTCTAATCACTATATCTTTGGAACCAAATGCTGCAAACCTTAGATATTTCAAACTATGAATTCTGTTGGATCAAATAATCTGAGTTTGAAATATCAAAGGTTTACAATATCGAGTCTTAAGATATTGAGGTTTAAATATTTGATTTTGTTCCAAAGACTCAATTCCTTTGCTCCTATTATAATTTTGAAATTGATAATATTTTTACATATAGTCCGTATAGTTTGTATATACACAGGCTGTTCATGTTCAAACGAACAGGACTAGAAACTAAATAGAAAAAAACCTTTGCAATTTTAGAATTATTGCTATAAAAAGAGTTTAATGGAATGGAAAGGTTAACCAAAAGACTGGGGTCTTTTATTGATAAATGCGTCGATTAGATTTGGGTATCGTTAAAGAACGAAAATATTCGTGCACAGTGGTGTAATTTAGTAAAATTAACGAACGAAAATATTCGTTCACAGTAGTGTAGTTTAGTAAAAATAACGAAAGAAAATATTCGTGCACAGTGGTGTAGTTTAGAAAAATTAACGAACGAACGATGATAATTTGTAAAAAAGGTTGTTGATTATAAAGCTCTATATACTAATTCAATATTTCAGGAGTGTGTAAAATCTGCGATAGAAGAAATCCTAAAATCATACAGTGGAACCCCGACATTTTATGTTTGCAAACCATCCCCAGGGGCCCTTCCAGTCAAATTATAATTTTCCTGTGGGTCCCTATCAGTTAAATTTTTAAAATCCTGGGGGAGCCTATCCGTGAAATTTTAATATTCCTGGGGGCTCTTCCAGTCAAATTCTAATATTGAATTGACGATAAATAATTCAATTTGCATCAAAAATAAAATCTAAAATGTAACATATCCCATTATGTGCATTTTTTGGGACGTATATGTTACAGTTATTGAATAATATTTAACCTCTATAAGATATATTGTAGTGTAACATGTGTGTATGTTGTTTAATGTAATCTATTTTTTATACTGTAGATTATCTATTGAAAAGGGTGATTTATTTTTTATAAAATAAATTTGTTCGTTATTTAGAAGGTGCCTTAAATAATTCAGAACAATTTTAGGTGAGGAACTAATTCAACGAATGTAGAGTTTTTAGTTTTAAAAAATATAACAATGCTATCAGATTCATAATTACCTTACAATGAGAGTACAATGCATTTTTCAAATTTTATGTTCTTTTATAATATATCTGGATTTAATGAATCATAGCTAGTTCAAGAGACGGTTCAACCACGTATCCTGAATCAGTGATTACCGGAGTGATTACTGATTATTCAGGGTGTCCTTTCAATCTTGCTAATTTTCAAATTGCTGTAACTTTGTTATTGTTTAGAATTTTCCCAACCTGTAAACAAATTTGAGTAATCAAAATATGAAAGTTTTATTGTATACAATGATATAATTCTCAATTCTAATACAAAAAATGCGCAAATTCATTAAATTTATTAGAGCCGTGTTCCAGTATGATGCGTACATATTGAAACCAGTTCTCTCTGGGCGGAATTTGTAAACAAGAATAGATGCACCAACCAGTGTTAAAAATATTTTAAAAATGGATCAGATATTCAAAAAAAAAAACAATTTTAGAGAATATTTATTTTGTGATTTAAAGATTGCAAAAATAGCGACTTTTTTATCGCTGAATTTAAAGTTTATTTGTGGCCAATTTGCAAGCTTTTAATAATTAAAGGCCAAGAATATTCCCTAGGTTTATACTAATAAAGAATTAGAGGCAAATCAGCTAAGGGGTTCATGAGTTCATAGGATCGAACATCCAAAATAACAGTCACACAAACAGAGATTAATACTTCATTTCATATTATACCATAAAGGAATTGAGTCTTTTGGCCTTTTAAACACTTTTTGCACTGCAACGATTTTTAAGTGAATTTTCCTTTCAGTTTTCGTTAATGCACATTTAAATATCCTGGGTCAAGAGCAGATTACATAAATTATTCATTACATGTTCACTATTCATTCATACAATGGATTATTCTACTTTTATTTTCAAATAGTTTTCACTTTCAGTCAAAGAGAATCTCAAAACCAAGCTTCACACTCCCGTGATTCTGCCGAGTTTCCCAAAATAATATAATTTACCTTTTTCAGGCAAATTTTTGTTGGCAACATCGGCTAATTACTCCGTGAAAAAGTTTGTTAAGATACCTAGTGGTTGGGGATTATATCAAAACAATGATGACGACTTTCGCTTTCAATTTTGACCATGCACTGTATAAGAAATTGAACACAAGTTTATGATTGTCCAGTAACTCTTTCTTTGAATATTAAACAATTACCTTGAAAAAAGCTGTCGTTGACATTTATTCGTTTACATGCTTGTCCTAATTTCCATATATATATATATACATACATACATACATATATATATATATATATATATATGAAGCATTTTAAAATATTTTTCAGTTAAACCTGAGATTTCCAAAGGTAATTACATATTAAAGTAGTATTAAGTATTAGTACACAGTTCATTTTTTATATTTGGTATTTTGAAAACTTTGATGTTATATCCAACACAGGCAACAGATATAAATCTATTATAGGATTCTAAAGTAACCCCAATTAGTTATCAAGAATAAAAAAGGGGGGGAAAAATGGATTAATAAAAATATGCATATCTGGGTTTGGTATAATGAAGGTACATCGTTCAGGAAGGTCCAAAAGTCGGTGTTTAAAAAAATACAAAATAGCTTATAACTTATACTGTTATTTTAGCTTAAGATCTACATAACACGGTGGACTAAGCCAGTGGGGTCTGTCAAATAGGCCTAGGATTAGGCCGGGTACTGTAAAAAGTCTGAACGCGCCATGGGAGTTGTCAAAGTTAGCCCTCCGACGGGACTATGCCAAGAAAATTGACCCCTGTCGTATGTTAGTCTGGTTAGGGGGACGTACTATACCAAAGGATCGGGTCAGTACATGCTGTTATCTGGCAGGCCGGTACAAACTGGACAGGTCCTGTTTGAATTTAAATTTACTACGGCCCAGAGCGATGAAGCTTTCTTTAGAAAGCCCTTGAAAAAGAGATATATTAACAATTAAGATATTATTATTTGTAAGAAACAAAAAGTAATTAAATTCTTATTCGACCTTTTTTTAGCAGGCTAATTTTTTGTTATGAGCTTTCTTTTAAAAATTTGTATATAACTTATATATTTTACAATGCAATGCCTTTAGTTTAACGTCTTTTTCTAGAAAGAGGACCCTTTGAAACTTGCTTACTTTAGGGAAATAGTCACTCAGAGGAGATTTTGTATAAATAATTTTCTAATGCACTATAGCCTAAGGGTTGGTTGGAAGCGTAGTCAGTGGAAACAAATCTTAAATAGCTTTATAATTATAATTCAGACATGTGTAACATGATTAAACTTGTCAAAAATACAAAACAAATATTTGTCAAAATATTAAACGTTTGCATTCAAAATACCCTCTTGGTGTTATGCTGCAGTAAAGCATGTAATATTCACACAAACATATACAAATTATATAAGTGACCGCGCTTAAAGTTAGTTTAAAAGAAAAAGAACTCTTGCTCGCGTTTTAATAACTTTTTAGATGAACCATTTCAATATTCCTCAGAATCGAAAAATGACATTTTTTATTTTGTTAAGATGGGTGTAGCAACAAAATTGTTTCTAGTGCTAATCCCACTAGTGGTGGTGGGTGTGACCAGCCAGGTATAATAGACTATTGTGGTGGGTGTGACTAGCCAGGTATTATAGACTATGGTGGTGGGTGTGACCAGCCAGGTATAATAGACTATGGTGGTGGGTGTGACCAGCCAGGTATAATAGACTATAGTAGTGGGTGCGACCAGCCAGGTATACTAGACTATTGTGGTGGGTGGGACCAGCCAGGTAAAATAGACTATTGTGGTGGGTGCGACCAGCCAGGTATAATAGACTATAGTGGTGGGTGGGACCAGCCAGGTATAATAGACTATAGTGGTGGGTGGGACCAGCCAGGTATAATAGACTATTGTGGTGGGTGGGACCAGCCATGTATAATAGACTATTGTGGTGGGTGTGACCAGCCAGGTATAATAGACTATTGTGGTGGGTGGGACCAGCCAGGTATAATAGACTATAGTGGTGGGTGCGACCAGCCAGGTATAATAGACTATAGGGACTTGACTAGATACAAGTCTAAAGTTGTGAATCGGGCATATACCCCTCTCTAATTGGACGGTCACTTGAAATCACAAAATTATTCTCTGTTGGTAAAAACTTTCAAAACAATATTCTTTAGGAATATTATCAATTATTTTTCTTTGTAACAGATCTAGTTTTAATTTAATGAAAATATAAAGACGACTTATCATTTTCCCGGATTATTTAGAATTATACTTCATCATTCAACCCGGTTTCTCAACTCAATCTACCGACAATAAAGTATGTATGTATACAATAAACTATGTCCCACGAAACATGGTAGTTGGTAAATAGTTTTAAATGTCTTCTTCCATAACTTGTCAAGTTGTTTGATACCAAAGAGAATATTATAATAAAATTGATTTCAAAATAAAATTTATTTGAGCACAAGACTTGTTTAGCTAAATAAACTGCAAAATGTCTGAAATATCTAAAAAAGTATATGGAGGAAGACATTCAAAACTATTAACCAACTGTCATGTTTCGTTGGACACTCTGTATGTAATTATGTTTGTTATTATATGTAACTTTTTGACAAAATTCCAACTTGAAATAATGATCAATCCATATTAAAAATATTAAAACTTCATCTGATAAAGAACTTTTTGAATTATTTTTAATGTTTAATTTACAAATTACAAAGAAAAGAAATAAAGATGAGGTTGTGTCAGTACCTAATTATCATTTATACAGCATGGTGCAGTGGAACCAAACACCTGTGGAATAGAAAGACGACATTTAACCATTAATTAATTGTATTTCTTGGTGGTACAGTTTACAGAGCAAATAGTTTTACTAGTAACTTATCTAATCCCATATTACCTAAAATGGGTCTGTTCACACTGCACAACTGCTGTGTGTCAAGTTCAATGGACTACTTAAATACATAATTTGAGTCCAACAATCGACTTCCTATTCCGGAGTTTTATGGTTAGTACTTTAGTTTAATGTTCAGGAAACCTTGCGATGTCAAGAGACAAGCTTCTAGGTATGAGTTAGTATTTGTCAATTATATAGACGTGCTGTACTATTATAGAGACTTTTATCTTTTTCCTATTATGAACCTTATCTTAACCATTTTCTTGCTGATCTGTTAACATCCAAAATTTCCTTTATCGTTTTGCCTGCACAGTACAACTGAATGCAAATACTGTACATGTTTAGATTTGGGTGCCTATTAACATAATTGTAAATTATTGATGCAACTTTAAATAAACTTGAACTTAGGATTAAAAGAACAGCTGTCTGGAGGACTAACACTGAAGGGGCAAAAAAAGATGAAACAATGCTTCCTGGTCGCCAGCCTCTTCGGATTCGTTGGCCTGACGGAATGAAAACCTGGAATTTCAAGACCTTCTTATGTTACACAATGAATTAACGCTATTGGGGGGGGGGACACCACGACCCCCCCCATCGTTTTTTCGCGATAACTCATATTCATACTGCACCTGAATGCCTTATTCTACCTTAACGCGACTAAATCTTTGTTTAGACCTATACTCCCAGTCATTGGATTTCAAAATTTTATTTTATCGGTCTGCTCTATCCGTCCTAGAAATAGAAACGTCAAGGACATGGAGAGTTTTCCTTTGCTAAAAAATGCCCGAAATCTCAAAGGCAATTCCTTGTAGAACCAATTGCTCACAACCACCAGCTACGGAATGTTGAACTATTTACTGTCAACTATACTAGAACGGATAAATAGAGAAAATCTGCTATTCCTTATATGCAGAACAAAATTAAACTCCCTATGATATACTCCTATCTTATTTTGAGATAAAACCCATGATATATTTAATTTTATTCTTATGAGAATGTTAATCATAGTAAAATATGTATTATGATCTTGATATATCTCTAATAAATCTTAAATACTTACTTATTTACTTACTTACTTACTTACTTACTCACTTAATTTCTTACTTACTTACTTACTTACTTGCTTACTTGCTTACTTACTTACTTACTTACTTACTTACTTACTTACTTACTTACTTACTTACTTACTTACTTACTTACTTACTTACTTACTTACTTACTTACTTTTAGCTCTTTTGAAAGCAATTAACAAAAGGAAGTAGATTGCAACATTTCTGCACAGAAAGTTTGCGTCGATACGTACCTTTTAACCTTCGAGCAAAAAGTAACGGTATGGAAACAAAAGTTAAAGATGAAATATAACTAGGTTTAGTTGTTGGAACTCATCCTCCAGCTTGCAGCAATAGTTTAATGGAATGACCTGTGAAGATGTAGAACTGTACTTTGTTTGTATTCAGTATTTTTTAGTAGATAAAATACATTATATATATGTATATTTTGCTTGTCTGGGGTTTGTTTGTATCCGATAAACGTCAAAAACGGCTGAACCGATTATACCCGAATTTTTGCGGGACCTCACATGACACCAGGAAACTTTTTTTAAATGTTGTCTCCAAAAGTTTTGATTTCATAAAATTTTGAAAATTGTAAATCCGCGGAATTAGTTCTCATTCTCTTATCGATGAGAAAAAGCTGATTGAGCATCATTTAAAATTTAAAATAGAAGACAGACGCGACGAGCCCTGATAGCCTTTTAAAATATAATTCTGAAGAATTTCAAAATTATAAAAAAGTAGAATTTAAAAATATTTATTTCACAACTTTAAATCAAACCAGAAAACTTTAAAATATGTTTATTTACAATTTTCAATTTAAAAAAAATGCACAATTCGACTACAATAATAATAAAATAATTAAATTTACAATTTAAGAAATATAAAATGAAAATTTAAACTATCAATGATCATTCAAACATTCATTTAAACCATGAGAAAATTCATATTATAAGTCGGGATACTATCTTTTTTTTAAATGATTACAAATTCTTAAAAAAAGAATCATACAATCAAAAACATTATTTTAGAAAAAATTAGAGAAATAATTAGAGAAACTATTAGAAACATCTTAAACCAGATGAATAAAGATATTTATAGAGAAATTTTTCATTCTAAAAAGATATCAAGATTCTTTTGAATTTATAAATGCACCGAGAAATGGCATCCATCGAAATTTAAAATTTGTCCAAAAAAGAAAGAAAAAATCGCACACAGAAATAATAAGATATGAAAAAGACAAATGATAGCATACATAATATCATTTGAAATATTCATTTAAAAATGGGGAAAAGAGAAATTGCGATTAACAAATTAAAAAATAAACCAAATTCTATTGAAGCATAAAATTAATGATGATGCTGAGTAAGGAAGGATGAACTAAGGATGAAAAGGATAGTACTAAGTATGGATGAATGACCTAAGGATAAGAATGATAGTACTAAGTATGGATGAATGACCTAAGGATCAGAAGGATAATACNATGATAGTACTAAGTATGAATGAATGAACTAAGGATAAGAATGATAGTACTGAGTATAAAAGAAAAATTAATAAAATTAGCTCCTCCACTGTAGTACGGACAGTAAGGACACTGGTAGCTCCCACAGACCTAATAATATAAAAATAATTTTGAACATTTAAAAAAGTAACTTTTCAAAAATAATTTAAAAGATTGAAAAAGGAATGTTTGGAAAGATACCAATAATTATACCCATATTAGATTTATTGAATTAAAATGCACAATATCGAGATCATACAGTGGTCGGCGATTATATCATTACAATAAAAACAACTTTTTATCAATAATGCTTTAATCCCTAACAATTATTATCAAATTTCAAGTTAAAAAAAGTAAACAAAGAGAAGATGTTCATTGACAACTTCTCTTTGTTTCCTTGCTCATGTGTCTCTGCTGTTTGAAAGTTTGCATTGGTAAAAAACTAAATTGAAATAAAAAACGTTCTCATTGTATTGATATATACGACGACGACGACTGATCATTCGATTTTAATTTTTCCTCCAAACAAGTTTAAATTTTGGATAAAACTTTAAAATAATTTTTCAAACTAAAAAAGCATTTAATGGTGAATTTTTTTGATAGTTTACGTCAATTTTAACAAGATTGCACAGTTGAATAAGAAAAAGACAGAACCAAACAAACGGTTTAGATAACGGTGCCATGATATGATGATATCAAATATCATAAAACACCTTTTAAAGGGACTGTAAGCGTAATTTCAAATGATACTCGATCCGCGCAAAGAGGGTAATGGCCGATTTACACCAGTACCCTTTAAACCTTTGTGTGTTCGTCGGGTACACAATATATGTGTGAACTTAGCGAAACTTGTAATCAGCTGCAAATTCCTGTCTGCGCTGTGTTAACTTTAGATTGCACATAGCGCTCACTGATGCAGCTGAGTACAAGCGGGCTTCGATAAGTTTACAAACAACTATCTTTGTACTCAACGAACAACAAATATTTAAAGGGTACCATTGTAAATCGGATATTGCTCTCTTTAAACCTTAAATTACGCTGATATAGTCTCTTTAAATACTTTTCTTATTTACCTCACACACACTCAAGATGTAGAGAGCTGTGGAGTTAAATGTCCTAAATAAAAAAATAAACAAAGATTTTAATTAAATGGCCTAAATAAACAAGGATTGCAATTAAATGTCCTAAATAAACAAGGATTGCAATTAAATGTCCTAAATGAACAAGAATTGCAATATAAAGTCCTAAATTAACAAGGATTACAATTTTGAAAGGGATGTTTTTTAAAAGACTTAATGTTAAGAGGGTCTTCAAGAATATGAGATCTACATCCTATTTCAAAATTGTATGCTTTATAAAAGTGTTTGCTCTGACCAAAGGTATTAACCAAAACAATTAGAAAAATAATGTAATATTTTTAATTAGAGAAAAAAATTAGCGAAATTTAATAAAAGCAAAGTTTTCGAAAATATAATTTTGTAATGGAATAAATAAATCACATTATTTGGAGCAGTTTGGGAGTAAAAAACCGTCAATGTTAGAAAACTGACCCCAAATTGAACACAAATGTTGTTATTTTCTTTGTTTGTAAACAGATAAATTGCTGTTTTAATACTTGTGCGTAAAATCAAAACTAGAGGAGCTACGAGGTCACGATGATATCTTTGTAAGGGTGGGTCAGAAAATATACTTTTAAGAATAAAGAAACAAAGTTTAACCTGATAAAGAATTTCTCCGGTCTCTGAGGTTCAATGATGAGAGCTTGTCTTGTTCGAGACAGATTTGCTACAGGATAATATCGTCTAAAGACAATAATAATTATATATAAACCCCTGGTCGTCTGAGGACAATGATAATTATTTATGGACCCCTGGCCAACAGCATATTATCGTCTGAGGACAATAATTAATATTTATGGACCTTTGGCATCAGGATCATATCGTCTAAAGAAAGACAATAATAACTATTTATGGACCCCTGTTGTCTGAGGACAATAATAATTATTTTGGACCCCCGGCTGTCTGAGCACAATAATAATTATTTATGGAACCGTGGTAGTCTGAGGACAATAATAATTATTTTGGACCCGTGGTAGTCTGAGCACAAAAATAATTATTTTGGACCCCTGGTAGTCTGAGCACAATAATAATTATTTATGGACCCGTGGTAGTCTGAGCACAATAATAATTATTTATGGACCCGTGGTAGTCTGAGCACAATAATAATTATTTTGGACCCCCGGCTGTCTGAGCACAATAATAATTATTTATGGAACCGTGGTAGTCTGAGCACAATAATAATTATTTATGGACCCGTGGTAGTCTGAGCACAATAATAATTTTTTATGGACCCGTGGGAGTCTGAGCACAATAATAATTATTTATGGACCCGGGGTAGTCTGAGCACAATAATAATTATTTTGGACCCCTGGTAGTCTGAGGACAATAATAATTATTTATGGACCCGGGGTAGTCTGAGCACAATAATAATTATTTTGCACCCCTGGTAGTCTGAGCACAATAATAATTATTTATGGACCTGTGGTAGTCTGAGCACAATAATAATTATTTTAGACCTCTGGTAGTCTGAGGACAATAATAATTATTTATGGACCCTGGTAGTCTGAGGACAATAATAATTATTTATAGACAGTGGTAGTCTGAGCACAATAATAATTATTTTAGACCCCTGGTAGTCTGAGGACAATAATAATTATTTATGGACCCGTGGTAGTCTGAGCACAATAATAATTATTTTAGACCCCTGGTAGTCTGAGGACAATAATAATTATTTATGGACCCCGGGTCTTCTGAGGACAATAATAATTATTTTGCACCCCTGGCTGTCTGAGGTCAAAGATAATTATTTTAGACCCATGGTAGTCTGAGGACAATAATAATTATTTATTGACCCCGGGTCTTCTGAGGACAATAATAATAATTTATGGACCCCTGGTCTACTTTTTTTTAGAATGAAGTAAGGTTTAAATAATCTACAGATGTATAACATTTTTTTGTCACTGACTGCACGAAGTTAATACCTTATAATATTTCTTTATATTATTTGATGCGATGAAACTTTTGAGAAAACGCATTTCTGAAATTTTGAGAAGACGAAATTTTCCATTTTAATATTTTTCAAGAAATGTTTGAAAATCCAGGTTCATTCGTAAAATCAAGTTTCAACGAAAAATAAGAAAACATTATAAACAATATTGTATTATATTTCATTGCATTATTTACAGTTTGGGTGGAATAATGCAATAATTGAATTTACTTGTGTTAAGAGTTATGATTGAATAGAATAGTTTTAACCTTCCAAATTCTGCTTCAAAATGCTGAACAATTACCTTTAAACACTACTTTAATAATGCCATTTCAACAAAGTTTTTTTACATACAAAAAAATCAGCACCCTGTATATTCTTTTCTTATTGTTTATTTGTGACTTAAATATGTTAGTTTACATTTTTTATTTGTATTATCTCGTGCTTTGTAGTTGAATAAAAATATGAAACCTTAGAATTACTAGTTTTCGTACTATCAGGTTTTCCCGGGCCCACAATCCGAGGTGGAGAGTTCTGATTTGCTCTTGAGCCCGGGGAACGGATCCAGCGTAGGCCTAGTCATAACTAGATTGTCTGTAGTTTGTTGAGAGATGATGTTGATTAGATATTTATATTTGACTCGGTTTCCGCGTTTCGGAGTATCATGCTAGGCTTGTGGTAGCAATCTACGAGTAGTTTATCCACTGAACACTAACTGAGGTATTGATAGATTTTATATATGAAGACGATTTGGTCAGATTTTGTATTTCCCGCTCTTTGTAGTACTTTGCCGCTGAACTTTTAATGAGATATTTCTCTGGCCTACGCGCCTTATTCTAATTTACTTAAGATTTATTTTATAGTTCGTATTAGTTTGTGATTTGATCTTTTCTTTAAAGTTTTGACCTGAAAAAAGTAGTGTTTTGCACTGAGGCATCAAATATTCATCAAGTAGAGCACGCTAGGGTACGAACAGTTGAGATCCAGGATGACTAACAGGTAGATGCAGTTTTAGATCGATGACGTGATCTTGGTTGATGATTGATGATTATTGATGATTATGATATGTTACGACGTTTACAGAGTTACAACTTGAGCTCTTCGTGCTCAGGGTTAAGGGTAGTAAGCGTTTTTAACCATTTTCTCCTTATAGATGCTACAGATAGGGTTGGTAACGTTTTGATTTTTGAAAAAAACGATCGTTTCGTTAAGAAAACGTAGAGGAAAATCGAAAAACGAAACGATCGTTTTTAAAAACGATCGTTTTTTTTAAAAGTTCGTTTTTTAAAAACAGTCGTTTTTTAAACGATCGTTATAAAAACGATCGTTTAAAAAAACGATCGTTTTTCAAAACGATCGTTTTTATAAAGTTCGTCGTTTTGTTAACGATCGTTAACGACTACCCTTCGTTAACGATCGTTAACGACTACCCTTCGTTAACGACTACCCTTTGTTAACGATCGTTAACGACTACCCTTCTTGATAATAACCGTAAATTTGGAGACTACAGTCCTTCTTTCGATCTTTAGAATTAATTATCTTTATGTGACGTAATTATCAATCATTACCTTATCCAATCACTAATCAAATCAGTCTTCTAAGGATGACCTTTCATTAACTAAACAATTATGATCAAAACCTAATATTTTTAATATCTTATACTTTAATTTCTTGTGTGCCAAATTTCAAGCATATATAAAACAAATAAAGAATTAGGTTTTAAAGTTCATATTGACCATTTTGTGGGGCTCATGGCGGCTCTGCACTCTCAAAAGTAGAACAAATTTCTTCAATTCAATTCAATTCCGCTGAACATTTTATAACTGCTACGGCATGTAAGACGACATTTGATAAATCTAATTAAAGACGACATTTATGACTATCTTCAGGACGTCGTAAAAATGATAATTTTTTTTTTCAAAAACGATCGTTATTTTTTAACGATCGTTTATTAAAAAACAATCGTATAAAAAACGGTCGCTTATCGTTTTTCTGAAAATGATCGTTTTCAAAAACGATTGATCTTCGTTTTCTCACAGTTCAAAACGAGTGGGTTGTTTTAAAAACGATCGTTTTTTTGAGAAAACGAAACGATCGTTTTTAAAAATGATCGTTTAACGAAGCAAAAAACGATCGTTAAACGATCGTTTTCAAAAACGATTACCAACCCTAGCTACAGATGGAATTAAAATTAGTAGCAATAATTTCCGACTTCGTTTAGGGCCCCCCCTAAAAGTTTTGGCGATCACTCCCTTTAAATCAACAATCTGATGTTGAAAACTGTTGACATTTTAAAATTTGATCTTTAAATTGAGCAGAATTAATTATTAATTTATCAAAGGTCTAAGACATCAGCTTAAGAAGTATTAACATCATAAAATCTAAATATGAAAAAAGTAGTATCAGTTTATTACGCCAGAATGATAAAGTGAGTTTTTACAAATGTTGTGGGTTTATCTAAAGCAGCTTGCCCTCATCTTTGAAATGGTGTTTATCACTTTTAAAAGTAGTTTAAAAGTTTCTTTCCGCAAATACAGAGGGATACGTAATAATAGTCCTTACACTATAAAGGGGAGTAGTCTCAGGAAACTACTCAGGACTATATAGAGAATACTATAGAACTATACAGTGGGATACATTATGATATATAGTCCTTGAATTGGGACTACAATGGAGTACATAGGGGACATGAATATAGACTTAATAACAGCATTTTAAAGACCGGGGGGGGGGACAAAAATCGCCCAGGGGAGCAACATTTTTTCGAGCTTCACGCGAAATCTTGCCCCCCCCCCTGGCTAAAATCCTGTGTACGCGCCTGTAAAACAGCACCGTAAAAAGCTTCAAAAAACATAGTGTAACACAGAACCAATTGAATGGTTATCGTTTACTTTCTTTGTTTTAATTATTTTAGCCTCGATCAAAAAGATAGACCAACAATCAAAATTACTACTCTGTACAAATAAAAAAACTTACGTAATAGTTTGATCAAAGCATTGTGTTTTGGCGGGAATATGATCAAAATACCAAATAGTTTTCCCTTCTTTCTCCATATCAGCGTCAACCAACTAACAGACAATTTACATTTGTTCTAAGCTTTTAAAGATATTTTAAAGGATAAAATCCTAGAATTGAAAATTTTTTGGTAAAAAACTCGTTGTTATTGTCCTGTAAATTTATATTTATACCACTTACCACCACCTCCCTTATTTTCCTTTGTTTAAGCATATACGGCGCAATTCTTAAAGAAAATTTTAAACCTTTTTTATTTTGATAAGGGACATGAAAGCGTAATTTCATTTAACTTTTAATACAAATTCCCGATTTACAATTTTCATCCCTTGAAACCTTAATCTGAAAAAAGTGGGAGATGTTTGCTGACTCGAAAAGTGCTAATTCTTTTAATTTCTCCATTGCTTTTTATAAGCAAGGAATGTCCAGGAATAAATAGTTTAAAAAAACTAAAATATGGAAATCTAGTTCATACTTAATCAGACGAAGAGGTCAATTGAAATGACCCTCACAGTCCCTTAAAGTTTGAACTAAGGTTTCAAGCGAAAATTTCGCATATTTCGCCAAAAAAATGGTCTCCAAAATTTCGCATTTGTTTCGAAATTTCCCTTAAAATGTTTTAAAATGTGTGTTTCACAGACAGTTTGTAAATGTCGCCTTTCCTGAGGTATTTTTTTTGATCTAACAATCTGTAATGCATCAGGCTGTAGAAGAAGGTAACCTGATTAAAATTAAAAATGTTCAAAAAATATTTATTAATTGGTTTTGTTTATTAATGTCGAAAGAATTTGTTTTGAAAAACGTTGTTGCAAGTACAGGGTTAACCACAAAGGATGAGACTGTAAAGACGACCTGAAACTCTTTAAGAAGGACGATTACAAGGTTGAATTAAGTCTTCTGCCTTAACTATGTTATGGGTTAATTAATGATTTGACGAGACAAGTTTGAAGTTGCAGAATATATAATTCAGTACAGTAGTCTCTGAAGTCTCAATAATTGTGGGTAACCCTTTTTCATTATACTGACGTCTACTCAGGTCTTTACTGTCTTCAACCTTTTAAGTTATATCAAAGTTTTATCCCCTTAATTAGGTTTAACCAGAAGATATATCTGAACTTGTTCCCCCTGCATTATTTTGACCCAATAGTAAATCCAAAATTGTTCCCCTGAATTATTTTTTCCCAAAAGTATATCAGGTATGTCTGAACTTGTTCCCCTGAATTATTTTTCCCCAAAAGTATATCAGGTATATCTTAACTTGTTCCCCTGAATTATTTTTTCCCAAAAGTATATCAGGTATATCTGATCTTGTTCCCCTTAATGTTTTGACCCAAAAGTAATATATACCAACTTTATTCACCTGAATTATTTTGAACCGAAAGTATATTTGAACTTTATTCACTTGAATTATGCTTAACCTGTAGGTGTATTCAAACTTATTACCCCTGATTTATTTTGACCCGAAGATATAGGGTGCCCCAATAAACATAGGAATTCAGTGACGACTTTGATATCGTCTTCGATCCATGCGACATTTTTTTCATTAACACAATTATTGCAGTATTTCAGCTTTAACATCTAATTTCAAAAATGCCTTGTCTTGAGATTTTTAAAATGTGGTCTATCATTTTTGTTTCTTCAAAATTGACGGAGATATTGCAAAATTTGTACCATTTTATTTAATAAACCAAAATTGTCATAATTTTTAATATCTTCGTCAATTTTCAAGACACCATAAAGGCACCACTTTAAGTAAAGCTTGTAAGACGTACAGTCTCCTCTTTTTTCTTTCTTTGCCATGCATGAAATATCAGAAATCTAAGACGATCTTCGAGTCTGCTTTCAATTCCTATATTTATTGGGACACCCTGTATATCCGAACTTTATTCCCCTGAATGGTATCCAACCTGAAGGAATATCAAGAACTAGCATAGCGAACCCTGACTGTGGTCCATCGTCAAGACAAGTCCATTTGATGCAAGATGTATACATGATATTAGATTTATTACGACCAGAAAACGTTTCCTGAAACATGAAGCTATGATTATTCATTTACTAATAAAGAACAGTCTGAGTTACTTTAGCTCTCTCTTAAAGGACTTTCTACATATCCTTATCCCTCTATAAAAGGGACTGTCTACGTAACTTAATCCCTCTGTTTAAAGGTCAGTCTACGTAACTTAATCCCTCTGTTTAAAGGTCAGTCTACGTAACTTAATCCCTCTGTTTAAAGGTCAGTCTACGTAACTTAATTCCTCTGTTTAAAGGTCAGTCTACGTAACTTCATCCCTTTATTAAAGGGTTAGTCTAAGTAACATCAGCCCTCCGTTAAAGAGGCTGTCTACGGTTTTACTTTTGATAAGAAATCCCAATTGAAAATAACTGTTTTTAAAACTATAAACATAGATATATAATCTAATTAAAGGGTGTTGAAAAAGAATCAAACGCTTCACATTTGTTCTCTCTCAGAGGCATAAATTTTAAATGAAATTAAAAATTACCTTTATTGTTAAATCAAAACAGCGCTTTGGAGGACTGTCCTAAAACAAGGATTTTGTAGATTTATTCTAGACTTTTAATAAAATCTACAAGAATCTAAGATTTTTATAATAATTAAAAAATTGTGCTCTTTAAGTTTTAATCATGTAAAGCAAAATGTCCACAGTGTCTCTAACAAAAAAAACAATTGGCTAAATCGTTCTGACAGCAAAATTTCGTTCCACTATAACTCATTGGTTTAGCCTTTTTTAAGGATTAAAAAGAATTGAATTTTTGCAACAAACTATGATTTTCTAATCCCTATTTCTTTGCAATCCAATGTAATAGACTTTAGATATTTCAAACTATGAATTCTGTTTGATCAAATAATCTAAGTTTGAAATATAAAAGGTTTTCACCATTTCGTTGCAGACTGCAGAGATATAGAGATTTAAACAGTTTAACTTGTTGCAAAAACTTAATTCTTTTGCATAAAATGTAGAACAATTTACCACTAGGGGTGGATAATCTATGCCATAGGTTAAATCCAACTGCGCCACTGCTTGTCCTGCTCCCTACATATAATAATAGTCTGACTAGGATAGGTACTTTCCCAGAGGTCTTTTCCCATGGAAAAACTTTCTATGGGTATTTTCCCAAACGGAAACTTCCCAAATATGTCTTAGCCGCCGCGCTTGGCACCCCCAACCTGTTCTAGCCTCAGTGCTCGGCCCCTGTTGCAGCCTACGGCGCCTCGCAAGGTCTAACCTAACATTTGGGAAGGTATGCCGCTTGGAAAATTGCACAATTGGGAAATAGACACTTGGGAAATCGTCACTTGGGAAGTCGTCCTGACTCATTGGGAAAATGTTTTTGGTAAATACCAGATACCTCACACCCGTTTTTTTTTCACACAAACAAAGTTGTTTGTAAAAAATCCAGTCAATTTAGTCAATTTAAAGAATCCACAATATTATCTTTAAAAATATGAGTTTGGCATTCATTCCCTTTGATTATCTTCAACGCAAAAATGCGTAGAGTGACGGGCAATGTATGGCGGTTGAACTGAATATGTAGTATTGTGGACACATTTTTTAGGATTCATTTAAGACATATAGAACGTTTCTACGACGTATAATTACTAAGTTTGATCGCAAAGTCGAATTTAAAATCATCTTTTTGTGTGGATACGTTTTGAGATTTGTTGTTTTTAATTATCAAATAACGACGACAAAAAAGGGAAAAAAATCTACATTTAACTAATACGTTTTTCAGGAACTGGTTGAGAAATTAAAATTAACTCTTATCCTCGAAAATTAGTAATTTTTTCAATTATTCACATTCTATCTCTCATTATTAACAAAGATTTTCTGCAGATTTGCTGGAATTTCTAATAAAAAGACGATATTTGGAGAATTTGTAAAAATCTGCGAACAAATTCATAGAAAATAAGAAATTCAATAGATAATGATGAAAACGAAATAATTGATTTTAACATTGCTTTATTGACAAATTACTTTTGATAAATATGTTCCTAAACATCTAATTAGTTTACTATGGAATTTGTACTAAATAACCTATTCTCAAAGCGTACCCACCCAAACGGACGATTTTAAACGTCGACTTTGCGCTCAAACTCAGCAGTTAAAGATCTTTAAAACGTTTAATATGTCTCAAATGAATCCTAAAAAGTTTCTCTACAATACTGCAATCTCAGTTCAACCACCATACATTGCCGGTCACTCCCTTTAAAAAAGGTTTCTTGTCGCATACAGGGTGTGCCACAAAGGATGAGACTGCAGTGACGAACCAAAACTTTTTAAATTCGATTGTGTTAAGCTTGATTGTGTTATTTTGCCTTCAATTAGGTTTTTTGGTGATTTTTAATTGATTTAGCTAAACAAAAACATTAGAAAATTTTGTACAGATGTCCTTGTAGTCTTATCCTTTTTAGTAACCCTGAATACAGTGTTCATCAAAACTAAACACATAAACAAATTGCGTAATGCTTAACCGCACATTTAACTAAAGGAAAGATAGAAAACGACAATAAATAAATACTAACCCAAGCTCGTAGATTGACATGGCCCCAAACATTCTCAATTGGTATTTCGATACCACTACTCACACCTAGCTCCAGGTCAGCGTTGTGACAAAAGTAAGTAATAACTTATAGGCTGTTAAATTTTGCGAAGGGATGAATATCTTATGATGTAAACCGTTATTATTTGATCTTACAGAATTCATATTTAATTTTTTAAATTGAAATAAATCAATAGGTTAAAAAAAGATTAAAAACAGAGAATGTACGAAAGAAAATAGGTAAATCTCTACAGCTGAGCCTCCCTTCTCTAAAAACAAAAAAAAAACATTTAATTTAGCTTGACTTAGCTTATGTGATTTATATATTTTATATATATTTATATATTAGTTTTTATTTGTCAGACTGCTTACCTAAGAATATGAAAAGTTTTTGTAAAGTTTGAATCTGGAAGATCTAGGTTTACATACATATTCGATAAGTCCTATACGAGCACAACACAAATCATGAATCAAAATATAACAAAATTGTTTGAACTGGTTTTTTTAAAACTCTAAATTAGGAAGACGACTTTTGGAATCAAGTTTTAACAGATCCTCTCAACTAAATCATTGATTAAGTGTCTAGTAAAACTATTTGCTTTGTAACAACATTAAATACACTTATATATTGTTATAATGTCGTCTTCCTTTTCCATTTTTTTCTTGATGTTGGCTAAAATTATGATGAAACATGATTTAGTTTTTCCTTGATATTGTTATGATATGCATATCTAACCAGAGCCTCCATTGATATAATTGTATCAACTAAAAAAGAAACTTTTAACGTAATTTAAGTGACCCTCCATGCAAAGATGGCAATGTACCTTTGAAACCTTTATCTGATCAATAATGTTGAAGATATGGAAGATATTGCAGTTTTTCTTTAGTTCAAAGTAAAAAATGCCCAATCTTGTTTTCGAGAAACCACAATTGAAAATAACTAGTTTTTTAAAATTATAAACATCCTTGATCAGGCAAAGCTTTTAAGGGTATCGATGAAAATTGACATTGGTATCTTTTCATGGAATGTCACTTGAAATTGTAAGAAACAAAATATTTGATCGAATTGTGATTTAAACATGAACTAAACTACAAACTACAAAATTCTTTAAAAAACAAAAAAAAATCTGAAATAATAAATCATTAAAGTTTCTGCCATCATTTTTGAAGCAATTGTCAACATAATCTGATATAATATTAAGTGTTAGAGACCCGTTATGCAAAGTGTACAAACAAATGTACTCCATACCTTTTTCTAAAAAAAAGATGGCGACCTTAGGCCGCTGATAAAAAGGTGGTGTACACAGTACACTGTAGCCAGAAAAAAACGAATATCTCTCCAGGAAAGTTTGTCAAGCAAAGTTCTTGCCACAAACTTTAATTTTTTAATTCCTTTGTCTTTACAACCCAATGTCAAAGACCTTATATATAGCAATTAGAAACTTTGAGTTTGTGGCAAAACTGAGTTTCTGTGAAATTAAATATTAGAACCTGTTGATATAAATCCTCCCACTCCGAGGCGCATTGTGTTCAACCATTTAACAATCTGGTCCTAACAATCAACAAATCAATCAATCATTTATTAATCAATTAATCAATGGAGCATTTACCAAACAAGTCAATTAACCAATTTTTACAAAAAGTGAGTTCCTTTTTTTTAATTTATGAAAGTTATTTACTAGCCAAAATTAAGTTCTACTTACTTGCAAAGATTTAAGTTACTTACTTTACTTGCAAAAACTTGAGTAACTTATTTGCAAAAATTTAGGTTACTTATTTGCTAAAATGCAAGTCACATACTTAGGAAGTTTATTTTAATTACATATTTAGATTACTTACTTGCAAAAATTATAGTTATTTACTTGCAACTATTTAAGCTACTTACTTTTAAAAATTTAAGTTATTTATTTGCAAAATTTAAGTTATTTATTTGCAAAATTTAAGCTACATAATTGCAAAAATTGAAGTTGCTTACTTGCAAAAATGTGATTCCGCCCCCATCCATTCTGAAGAGAGTCAGCAGAGCATATCCTTTTCAATTATCAAATCGTAAAATAAATAAAAAACAGAAATGATTTTATGTTTACCTACAGAGGCTCACTGAACATGGGAATTAAGTGACTACTTTTATATCGTCATAGATCCGCGTGGAATACAATTATTGCAGTATTCCGGCTTAAACATCTAATATTGAAAACGCCTTGTCTTAAATGGGGTCTACAATTTTTAAAATTGCAAAATTTGTAAAAATTTCAATGTATTTAAAAAATGAATCAAAATTGTCTTAATATAGTAATATCTTCGTTAATTTTAAAGATGCAAGAAAGGTAGACCACTTTCTGAAAAGCTTGTCATACATAGTACATACAGCCTTTCTTTGAATGCATTATAAGGACTGTAAAGGAAGAAAGAAAGGGGGTATTGGCTGAAAATTTATAAGAACATCTATATTTATAAAGTTTTTTTTATAAAAATAGTAGGTTTAAACGGATCATATTCAGCAAAAACACAACCAATCTGAAAACAATTATATTATATTTAATAATTTTCTTTTTTTAATTGATATAGTTGATAATAAAATAAATATGTCCGTATCATGTAACCAGAACTCCAACCAATGACAGTGTAGGTTTATTGTCACGTAACTCCGTCTGAATCACATGACCAGTATATTGCAATGTCATTGGTTGGAGTTCTGGTCATAGATACAGACGTATAAATAATATGATCAATTATATCTTTTATAAATAAAAAATATTAAATTCAAATAATAATAGAAGCAAACCTAAGTTTCTTAGGCTCCTCTGGGATATTAATGTTTTCAGATTGGTTGTGTATTTGCTGAATATAATCCGTTTAAACCTACTATTTTTATACAAAATTTTATAAATATCGATTTTCGTATAAATTTGACACAGTTTTATAGCAATTTATCTAGTCAGAAACATCAGATCGAACTCTCATGGGTCTCGATCAACTTCAAAAATGCTTTTAGGTTTCAGCCTTTACCCCTTTTTATTTTTCCTTTACACTCCCTTTAAATATCATAAATCAAAAAGGAATATAATAAAATGTTCTGTCAATGTATGCGTTCCATGTTTAATTATCTTAGAATTGGAATTTGAGGTCTTTGCCACAAACTCAAACCTTCTAATCCTTATATCTTATTCACCTGTTGTGTAAACCTTTAATATTTCAAAATTAAATTATTTGATCTAACAAAAGTCCCAGTTTGAAATGTCTAAGGTCTACGACTTTTGGTTGCAATGATTTAGGGAATGGCAAAGACTCAGTTCTTCTCTTGAAAAATATCCAATTTACAAAATCAATTTCCAAAAGAAAAAGAAATATTTCAAGATGACAAAGTTCCTGTTGCTTCCACAGCCAGAGCATCGTTCTCTTGTTTTGCTTTAGGTTCAAGAAAGGGTCTATTAAACTGATAACGGACCTTGTTGGTTTCTAAATATAAAAATAAATGAAATTACTAGTTTCAAACTCTACTTTTTCAATGCCTTTATATTTACAACCTGGTGGCGAAAACTTTCGACTATTTTATCTGGCAGATTGCAAAGATAAAAGTAAAAAATATTGGAAGAGTAATAAGTTGTTTTATTACACCATTTACAGGGTTAACCTCAAAGGATAAGAAATCAGAGACGACTGCACAGAATGTAATATTGTCTTAATTTTAATATTTCTTTTTTTTGGGTCAAAACATCAAGTTGCCCATGAATAGATAAATTTTATTCCTAGTGCAGGGTGTACATATTTAACTAATATTGGTTATAACAAAACTAGAACATGAAAAAAAATCGGATTTGGAAATGATTCAGTGGTTGTTTTTGGACATCTGCAACCCGGCGTTGAACCTGCAGCTGCGAGCTAGCTGAACAGTATAGAAACATAAACTCTATTGACCTTCTAAACTCTAAAAATGTTCTTATTTGTGTCCATCTATTTCTTTTCTTTAATGATGTTTGTCTGTTGGGTAATCTGAGCCCACGATTTAAAAACTTTGGCTCGAGCCGCAATTCCTTAAACCCGACTTTAAGACCCAAATCTGACGACAGCTTGTTTCTCTTGATTGACAGCTGCAAGATCTTCAGCTCTACTTAAGGAGTTAGGCCAAATGAAAATAAAACCGACCTTGGTTGGTTTTAGTGGAAAATAAGGCTCAATGTTGAGTCTTGTTCTCATAAAAATCTTAAATAAAGCCCAACGACAACTTAGACCTGAGCCGTATTTTCTCGATTTTTCTTTAAATCGCGGGCTCAGGGCAGGGATTATAAAGTTATCTTTATCTCGTTTTCTTTTTTATGACATCAGCTGCTCAAGTTGATTGATACAGAGGTTTCAGTCACAAATTTAAGGTACAGCTGATCCATACATTTGAAGATACTTTTTAGTTTAATATTTATTATAATAATTTTTGCCTTGGTTCCTTTGAATATCTTTATCACTTTATTTGGAAACCTGAATAGGAGAAAAATAGTTTTTGATTTATTAGGATTTATTGGATTTGGCCTGAAATATCTGAAATAAGCTTCCTTCCACTTCCTTCCAAATACGCAAATAGCGCCATGATTTTATAAAGGTGCCATCATTAGTCAATGCAAACTTCTTCCTTATTTGATTGTCTATGATCTAGAAAATGTTCAGCAAAATATTCGCAGATTTACATAAATTAGGGAAGAAATAGTAGGTGGAAACCTATTTTAATTACACCCTTTAGAATACTTTATTTTATCTTGAAAACGTCATATTTACAGAGCCTAAGGTCGTCTTTCCAGTCTCATTCTTTGTGGATTACCCTGTAAGCTGAATAAACTTGAATTTTTGGGGTGTATAAAGATGAATAATTCACTGCTAATATCATTAAGGTTTCTTTAACAGCATTTAAAAGAAAATAATTGGCAGTTGATTTAAAATAGCGAGAAATAAGCGTTTTACCAATTCTTGTTCTGCTCCAGTAACTCATGCCACCCTCTTCCCGTCTCATACTAATATAATTGGGAATAAATAAATTACTAAAAGTAATTTTATAATTTAGTGTTCAATTCGTATACCAAAACTTTTCAGGGTTTTGAGCGTTTTAAAGTAATACGAAAATCTGTAAGATTATGCAATCTTTAAAAATGTTTAATCTCTTTATTTGCTTTTCTTACACAATGCCGCCAAATATGACCCTGAGAGAAAATATATGCAAAAAAAACCGAATATAATATTTGATAAAATAGAACCTTTACAGATTTAAGTATATGTGTGGTGCCTTTAAGAAGCCTACAAATCTCAAAAACGAACCAAACTATGTCCCATCACAAGTCCCATAAATTGCACACTGGAGAATACGAATACGAATAAAGCTGGATTTAAAGGGAGTGTTCTCGAAAAATTAAAGGGGGCATAGGCTTACGGCGAAAAATAATCGCTTTTGATCGCTACTATAATCTTACCTTTATCTGTTTCGATTATAAAGAGAAAATTGTTAAAAACGACTTAAACGGAAGAACGTAGCGTCCATACAAATTCACTATTGCAATATACAACCCGGTTCGTAAAAAATCAATTTAATTTCAAACAAATCATTCAGATATTACAACCTATTTCGCCGTAAGCTTATACAACCTTTCCTTTTTGCTAACACTCCCTTTAAGTCATACAAATATGTCATATGTTTGCAAAAGAAAATGAAAGTTTTCTTGTATCTTTTGAATGACAGGTTTCAAACTGCTTCATATATAAACTGGATTATTTTTTAGTTCTTTATTGATGGTGATTATTGATAGATTTTATTAAATGTTTCTACATTACAGCAGTTTAACTAAAATAAATATGTATAAGCTTTTAAGAGCTACATTATGATAACATTGATAAGAAAAATTTGTATACGGCTTTCATATATATATATTTCATATATACATATATATTATAAATATATACATATTTCATTTATATATACTTACACAAGTGTCATCTATGGAGAAAAGAATTCAAGTAATATCCACATCTACTTCCATTGATATGGTTTAGGCCTTATTACAGGTTAAGCATGCAAGCATATTTACATACGTTCTTAGGAGTGCGGTAACAAGGAAATCTATATAGTTTATATCGTAAAAAATGGGAATAGGTTAAATGCCTAATTTCAAATCAATGGTTCCTGGGATCAAATTTAATGAACTGCCCACCGCCGGTACAAATCCTCATGAATCTTTAACTTTGATTTTGCGATTCAATATTTGAACCAACGAAGGCAGTTTAGCTATTGACCCAGCTCAAATTCAATAAAATCGGTCTTTGGTGTCTCTTCTTTATACATTCTTTTAGTTGTTATTAAATACCTGAATAGCTTGTTGTATGCTTCTTCAGATTCTGATGATTGGGTGACAGTAAGTGCATACGCTACAGGGAGATATTATATAATATATTATGACACACACAATTGACGATTTTACAAATATTTTAGAAGAATATTACGTCACTAAAATTATCTCTAATCAATGCAATGTAAGTTTTTTACTTTTAAAAAATATTCTTTTTAAAAAAATTGTTAAATAATATTTCCCTGAAATGGCCATCTCGTAAGGATCTGTGAGATGGTCTAGATTACGCTCTATTCACAGACAACGAATAATTAATTTCAAAAAAGTAAAATATTCAGAAAAATATAAACCAAAAGAATTATATGAAAAACCTCAATTATTGATGTTATGATTATGAATTAAGAATATAAATGTATAAAATAATGATTTCTATACCAGATCTGTTAGGGTGTTTGTATCAAACAAAAGTCAAAACGGCTGCTAAACCAATGGGGTCTCATTTTCTAATGACTGCTCACTTTCCCCCAGGGAAGGTTTATGGACCTTTAAAGTTGAACAAATTTGCCCGGAATAAAATGTCGACAAACAATATTTTTGTAAATGCGCCAATTAAAATTCAAAATATATTCTAAAAAAATTTACAAATTATTAATGCTGGTAACTTTCAGAACAGCATTTAAAAGCAAAAAGTTTAATGTTTTAAAATAAAAAATGATAATCTAAAAAAGAAGAAATGTTAAAAAAAGGGTTCTGTGCCTAAATATCGAACTGCCGCTTGTCTTGCTGTGCTACAGTATTTTGTTACATGCCCTAGAAATAAGAGAAGAGAAAAAATGATATCCTAGACCTTCAATATTTTAAACTAATAATTCTGCTAAATCAAACAGCCAAAGTTTTCATTTAAAAGGTTTACACATTAAGTTGCAAATATATATCCATCGTATTAGAGTTTAATGCAAGTAATCAGTTCCAATTGTAAGCCAGACATTTCTCTAATCAAACTATTTCGTAAATTGGAAGTTTTCCAGTTTTTATTTCGTAAACAGGAAATTTTAAAGTTTCCATTCACATTGAAAACGAAAAAACAGGAAGATGACTTTTAGGCTCAAGTTATGGCTTTAAATAGTCCAATAAGTACTAGGCATAGCACTTGTCCTGTGCTTAAACAGATTTATTTAATGGAATAAGTGATATATTAAGTGGCTGTTAAAATGATTTGCTTTGTAACAACATAAATTATTACTTTAATGTCATCTTCATATTCCACAGTTCTCTAGTTCTCACTGTAGTTCAAAACCAGAAGAAATCCAAAATAAAGGAACTGAGTTTTTTCCACAAGCTCAAATTGGCTTATCCCTATATCTTTGCAGCCCAATGCCGTAGACCTTTGATATTTCAAACTATTAATTCTGTCAGCTTACATATTCTAAGTTTTAATTATCGAAGGTTTACACCATCATATTGCAAAGAAAAAGAGATTAGAAAATTTGTGTTTGTGGCAAAAACTCAATTCCTTTGTTAAAAATCCACCAATTACCTGTAAGTCTGGACGCGGCATTGTGCAAGGCGATCAGCACATGCGCAGTGAGCGCCACGTGGTTAGAAGAGTTTGTTGCTTTATCTTTTCTATCCATGTGTAGCAAAAAAGGAACCTAAACATCAAGACTTGTGGGGATGGATATAAAATAAGGGAATAATGTATTTAAAGTTAAAAAAAATTTCCTCTGAAAAAAATTTGCAATTTTATGTTTAGTCCTTACGCAGCACCTGGATATATTCAGTCTCAACGAAGAATCCCGAAACATCCTGGAAATTAATCAGCCAAAGCACTGGAGCATAATTATATTTTTCATTATTTGCAAAGTGTTTTTGTCTAAAGGATTGTCGACAACAGATCTTGCCACCTTGATGTTCTAATCACTATATCTTTGTTACCCAATAATTTCAAACTATGAATTCTGGTAGGTCAAATAGTCTAAGAGTGAAATATCAGAAATATAGCACTGAAGTCGTTCTTTTTTATTCTGGCAAAACTATTGGCCTTTTTCTTGCTTGGTTTGCTGTAGAAATCCAGAAAAAATAGTTTACAACCAAAATAAGATAAATCAAAAAAATATAATTTCCTGATGATTCATATATTTGTGGATCAATGTAAATATAATCCTCCCAATCCTGGAACCCGACATCCTAGCTCACAACAATACCATTCTTAATCCAATCATAAAGGAACTGTACACGTAGTTAATTTCAAGTGAAATAAAAAATGTCATGTATGAATTATATTTTGTGAATAATTAAAACTTAATTATTTAAAAAGATTAAACTACAGTAGATGAGCCCTCCCCCGCACACCCCATAATGCATATTTAAAAACCTTAAATTTCTTTAAAATATAATTTTTGGCCATTTCTTTATAAAAGAAAGTTTTCGCCCTATCTTTTATTATGAATAAATGTCAACCTGTAAAATACTCATAGATATACAAGACATCTTGTATATCTATGAAAATACTCATAGATATACGTATCTTGTATATCTATGAAAATACTCATAGATATGCAAGACATCTTGTATATCTATGAAAATACTCATAGATATGCAAGACATCTTGTATATCTATGAAAATACTCATAGATATACAAGAAAGCTTGTATATCTATGAAAATACTCATAGATATACAAGAAATCTTGTATATCTATGAAAATACTCTTTAATTAAAAAAATAGATTTAGTAGAAAGAAATGGTTCCTTGAATATTCTGATACACCAGGCTGTTAACCAGACTAAACAAAAACAATTTAAAATTGAGACAACAAAAACCCAAAAAAATCTACAAACTTTTTTTCGGATTTGTAATAAATTGAAATTCAACTGATTTGGAAGGAGGAAAATCTACAAATATTCACTAAAAATATATAATAACACACATCAATTATAAACCACAGTAAAAGAACTGCGTCTTTGCCACAAACTTAAATTTTGTAATTCATACATCTTTGCAACCGGATAGTATAAACTTTTGATATTTTTAAATTAGATTAATTGATTCAACAGAATTTAAAGTTTAAAATATCTTTGGGTTGCAAGAATTTCGGGATTAGAAATTTAGAGTTTGTCGTAAAGACTACATATCTTTGCATATCAAATTTTAAGGATTTATTAAACAGTACGCATACATTGTTTTATTTAATTTTACCTGAAGGGGGAGAATAATCAAACATTGTGAGATAGCCCTAAAATAAATAAATGTTGCAAATACGATAAACAAAACAAAATTGACGTATTATATTTATTATATCGATTTTAAATATTTACAATGTTTGATTATGATTATGATGCAATTCTTATATAAAATGTTAATAAAAAAAACCTGTGTAGAGTATCGTCTCATAACAGCCGCTAGTTCTACAAAAAATAAACTTTTATTTAGTATTTGATTATCATAAGGGTGTTCGTGTATGTATGAAGCTATCTTAGTTTGAAAATACAGGGTTACCCACAAAGAATGAGACTTCTGAGATGACTGTTTCCTTGTATTTATTATTCTCTGTCACTGTAAACTTGTTTTTTCTTTACTAAATCATTAAATAATCCGTTAAAAGACTTAATTTCGAGACAGAAAATTTTATTCAACCTCGAGAGTGTCATACATTGGGAGTCCTAGGTCGTCTTTACAGTCTCATCATGTTTGAGAAAAAAAAACGATTCAAATTTTTGTTTTTATATTTCTAATTTTACCTAAATTCATTGCTTGAAAGATACTGCTTCTTTCTCCCGGATCCAAATCTTGCCACTGATTTGTCAGTCTATACAAAAAAAAATTTCTAATTTTTTTTTTTTTTTCCAACCGGGCCTCTCTTTAAAGAAGGTGCTTGTCACTTAGATAAAACATTCGAAATTCAAATGTCTACCAATAACAATAAAAAACAAGATCTCAAGCAGTAACAAACAAAACAAGATGTCTACAAATGACAATATATTTTGTATACAAAACAAGATGTTTACCAATACCAAATGCAATATAAATTATGATGTCTACCAAAGATAATGTAAAAAAAAGATATCTACCGATGACAATAAAAAAAGATGTCAAGCAATGACAGTACAAAACAAGATGTCTACCAATGACAATATAAAACAAAATGACTACCAATTACACTGTAAAAGGAAGATGTCTACCTATGATAATGAAGCTGCCATGAATTTGCCGCCAAATTAAACAAATGGAACTCTGTTCCTTTTCCGTATTTTCCGTGTCCTGTTGGGAACATCGTGTAGAGAGAAACTGGTTCCCCGCCACTTACAAAGCAAAAATATTTATTGACAATGGGCAAACATGTCTTTGTTTGCTGAATTGTTAAGATTTTGATAGTTCTTAAATAAAATAAAATAAAAAATTTATAACTTTCATATTTTCTTTAACTTTAATGTTAAAAAATAAGTTCAGTTTCGAAAATAAATATTTTCCTAAATGTTGGACCAATCACATCTCCAGATAAAGTCATTAGTCCCTTAGGACTACCTAGAATACACAAATATAATCAGAAGAGCCTAAAGACTACCTAGAATACGCAAATAGAACTATTAGACCCTTAGGACTACCCAGAATACACAAATTTTAGCACTACCTAAATAAACAAATATTATCATTAAACCTTTGAAAGACTACATAGTTTTCAGCTAAGATTACTTATTTTCGATGATAAGATTAATTTTTATTTTCTCAACATGTTCCTAAACATGACGTCTGTAGTTTATTGTAGAACTTTTTTACATTTTATGTCGTCGTTATATAATAATTAAAAAAAAAACTTATTCTGAAAACGTATCCACCCCCAAAGTAGGAGTTTTGAACATCGAATTTGCGCTCAAACTCAGGATTTACAGATCTTTAAAAAGTTTAATAAGTCTTAAATTAATCCGAAAGAACTTTTCCACAACACTGCATACTCAGTTCATCTACCTTACATAGCCGGTCACTCCCTTTAAAGGACTACATAGAATAGATAATTAGAATCACAAGATTCTGAGTACTTTATTTCATATAGATATAATTGTATATACTAATATTCTATTTCCTTTACCTGAGATGTATCTTCTGTATATTTCGTAAGGAATAATTTCCGTTTCATCCACAATAATATCCATAAACTCTGGACACAATCAAATTCAACTAATTATTAAACATTTAAACTTTAATCTTTTTTCTCATATATAAGCTTTTATTTATGAAAAAATACAGTTAGCCCCATAAAACCATAGATTAGGAAGACGATATTTAACCAATGTATGAGTAGCATATAGTTATACCGGTAGTTTGAACAGCAACATATGAAGTGAAATGTTTGTGTTTACACTGCATAGTTGTTGAATATCATGTTTTGGGACTTTTTAAAAGCACAACTTTATTCTTAAAGTCGTCTGTGTAAAACCTAAGTTCTTGTAAAAGTTTAACATTAATCATAAATGCGTGATTATGTATTGAATTTTAATTGTTAAGAGGGGTTTTTAAAAAACTGAAAAGGTGTTTAAAGTTTTTTTTCTAATTTTGATTTCCTAGTTCGTTTGCCCGATTCTTAAGATCTAGAACAACCGATGTATGTCTGTGTACTAGGCTACCCTCGCCAATAATTTCAATTTCTAAAATATTATTCATTAAAATATTAAAGTTTTAAAAATTTTCTAATAAAAAAACAGACATTAACAAAATTTTGTTTCTATATTGAGAAAGAAACGAGTTTTTGCCACAAACTCTGATTTTTTAATCCCTATATCTCAACAATCCCATGTTGTAAAACTTTGATATTTCAAACTATGAATTCTATGTTTGAAATATAAAAGGTGAATATTTGTATTTCATAAGTAGTTGCTTTGCTTAAGTGAAGAAACTTCTTCTAAAGCCTACATTAAAAAAATGTTAAAATCATGATCATTTTTAAAGAATTTTTTCATAATTACATTAAAAAAATTAGGTGAAAGAAGGACAACTTTTGCAGGAAAATATTCTTAAATATTAAAAAAAATATATACTAACCTACTTCTTGAGTAAGATGAACTATTTGAGTGGAAAGCTCTACGGTAACAGTTATTGTTCCTTGTTGCACCTAAACAGAGGTAAAAACTTTTAAATCCGTTCATAATCCCCCACCTCACCCACCCCCCGTTTCTCAGAATTATTTTTTTAACCCTATCCTGCTGTAAGGGGGTCAATTGACCCCCCCCCCCAGCCCCCAAGTTTTTTTTTATATCGCTTTAAAACTATAAGGGTCATCAGAGAGCTGAGATTTCTTGACTTTTCCGAAATCAATTTATTTATGATTCTGCCTGAGAGTTCACGCCTACTGCCTTTAAATAGGCCTGTTTTACCTTTTGGATTAAATTTGCTTTTAATATCACTTAAAAATTTCCAATCCTGATGTTCAATAGATTTTGGAAAGCTGAAATCAAGGAGAACGTTAATCTTTAAAAATGTCAATGGTTTATAATGTTGCAAAGAAAAAAAATGACTAACTATAATAGAAAAGCTAAAAGTTTTTATTTATATTTTCTAATTTTTCTAAAGTGTTCTTCTGGACTAACAATGTATTTACTCAAATCTCTCAAAATTTCTTCATTAAGAAGAGTTATCATTGAAAATACATAAGATTTCAATTTTAAACAAGAGCAATTTATTTTAATTTAAAAAGGAATAATTTTCTCACCATAGGTTTGATTGGAAAATGTACATCTTCTGTTGTATCTCCTCTACAAGTTGTTTACATTCTTTCAAATTAATAAAAGCATTAAAAAATCCAAATTTTTAACGTTTTTATTTTTCTAATGAAAAAAACATGTATATTTATTCTTCAATTTAACACTAAGAAGGTTTCCAGTGGAACGAAAAAATCGTTGAGTGCAAATTCCACATTTTGCGCACAAATTAATTGTAGTGCCTGCTAGGGAGGCAAGATTTAAATTAAACGAATATTAAGAAAACAAACGTTTAACCACTTTTCCTTACAGCCAAATAAAATATAAACGATTTGAAAAAAAAAATTTAAATCTGACAATTTCTTACATCATTTCTGCAGCATAAATGCGTAAGTCGCGATTGTAAAGAGACTAAACTTAAATATATTCAATTTTCAAACATGGAGGTATATCTTTTGTAAAAAATAAAAGGTCCCTTATATTGAAGTGTACAGTCCCTTTAATGTTTATTATACTGAATGTGGTCCCTGATATATAGAAGATGATGATGATCTCCTTTACTAGTTCGTGGATTGTAGCTCACAACATAACCAAACTCTTCCACGTGAACAAACTCATAATCATCAGACCCTCTTCACACAAAATCAATGAAAATCATTGAAAAAAAATCAAAAACAATGAAAATTGATTAAAATTAATGAAAATTAATGAAAATTAATGAAAATCAATGAAAATTTGTGAAAATTAATGAAAATCAATGAAAATTAATGAAAATCAATGCAAGAAAATCACTATTAATCAATGAATTTCAATGAAAATGAATGAAAAAAATGAATAAAAATTAATGATTATCAATGAAAATCAATAAAAAACAATGAAAAATCAATGAAATTTAATGACAATTAATGAAAATAAATAAAATTCATCCAAATTAATCAAAATCAATCAGAATCAATCAAAATCAAAATCAATCGAAGTCAATGAATCTCAATCAATCAAAATCGATCAAAATAAATTAAAATAAATCAAAATATATTTTTGTTGATCTTGTTCCTAAGATTCAGCATACATTCCACATTAGGTTCACCCCAGTTGAACACTGTACATTTTATCCCAACAGTTTCCCCTCGTCTTATTGTACCAGGACCTTAGAGTAAAGGGTTTTAAATTTTAAAGGGACTGTGCACGTATTTTCTAGTGACCCTCCATACAAAGATGACAATGCCCGATTTACAACGGTAATCTTAAAAGCTTTGTTTAATCAATTATAATTCAAGGTTTAAACGTAGAATGGATGTCTTTAGCAACAAATGAAGTTTGTTTTTAAAACATTAGAATCAAGAGGTTTTAAAGAAGATTTTTCAACATTTAATAAAGGTTAAATCTTCAACTCTACCTTCACGTTTATATTTTATTTTTAAAGCTGAAATAAAATGGTTAAACGATTAAATTTAAAACGTATAACCACATATTAGATATTTCCAACTACACCTGATTATATTACCTTCACAGTATAACCAGATATTAGATATTTCCAACTACACCTGATTATATTACCTTCACAGTATAACCAGATATTAGATATTTCCAACTACACCTGATTATATTACCTTCACAGTATAACCAGATATTAGATATTTCCAACTTCACCTGATTATATTACCTTCACAATATAACCAGATTGGTCTGTAGGAGGAGAAGGAAACGAATTCTTCTAAGATGGATAATCCATAGGTCTTGCTCACACTAGTTCAGTCAAGTTAATGTTTAGTTATTTAATATTGTTTTTGAGAAAATAACTCCTTTAAAATACACATATATAGTGATGAGACTTTTTTGGCTATTTAAATTCTGTTAATTAAAATCAAAATGGAGGCTCTATGATCTGAGACTTTGCTACAATCTGCACATTAAAAAAAATCTTGATAAACACAAGACAATATCCTCAATATTGGTTATATTACTGTAAACCAGTTACACAAGACAATATCCTCAATATTGGTTATATTACTGTAAACCAGTTACACAAGACAATATTCTTAGTATTGGTTATATTACTGTAAACCAGTTACACAAGACAATATCCTCAATATTGGTTATATTACTGTAAACCAGTTACACAAGACAATATTCTCAATATTGGTTATATTACTGTAAACCAGTTACACAAGACAATATCCTCAATATTGGTCATATTACTGTAAACCAGTTACACAAGACAATATCCTTAATATTGGTTATATTACTGTAAACCAGTTACACAAGACAATATCCTCAATATTGGTTATATTACTGTAAAATAGTTACACAAGACAATATTCTTAGTATTGGTTATATTACCGTAAACCAGTTATACAAGACAATATCCTCAATATTGGTTATATTACTGTAAACCAGTTATACAAGACAAATAAACCAGTTACACAAGACAATATCCTCAATGAAATTTCTAGTTAAAATAAAAAACTTAGACGCTAATCATTAATATCACTATGGGGGGGGGGGGAAGGGGGTTAATGGCTTTAGGAGATTACCCCCTTATCTTGATATTTGACCTGAAAGCTGTGAAGAACCACTCTTCAGCTGTCTCTGGAACATCAAGTGTTCTGAACTCCTCATGATCTTCATCAATATTAGTGTTTATCCAACCCCAGTCACCGTCAGAAATGTCATAGAAGGAATCAAATCTGTTCATTCTGCAGGACAACGTTGGAACAATTTGGATTAATTGAATAACACAGAGTAACCCACAAAATATGAGATTTTATGGAATGTAAAGTGTCTGTTAATTTATGTTAATGATTCCATGCAGCTGTTCAACGGTTTTTTCTTTGCGAATTCACTAAATATACCATTATAAGACTAAATTCAATTTAACCTTGAAATTGTTATATTTCTAGAATTCAAGTCGTCTTTGCAGTCTCAGCATTTGTGGTTTGTGCTGTACACAAGCTTAATTCCATCAACTATTGAAATTTTTAAAAAATAAAATGGCAAATCCCATTTACGAAGAAAATCAATTCGGTCACAAAATGAAAAAAAAACGTGGATTTACCATACAAACGGATTTAAACAAAAAAAATTTATACTTTTCTAATAGCTGATGTTTTGTTGATTTGGATTTCTTGGCCAATTATACTTCCTTCCACGAACGAAAGTTATTGCAAAGGAATTCAGTCTTTGTCACAAACTTTAATATTCTAGTTCTTATATAATTGCAACCCAATGTTGTAGACCAATTGGATATTTCACACTATGACATCTGTTAGATCAGATATTCTTTATTGAAATATCAAAAATATAAAACATTCTAGGTTTCAAAGATATAGGAATTAGAAAGTATGAGTTTATGGCAAAGACTCAGCTCCATAACGGAAAGACTTGTTTATTATCAACTTGCTAACTGAACTTGATATTCAGATTATCGGTAAAAATAAACAGTTACTAAATGGGCTTTTAAAAGTACTAACAGGCCAAGCCGATGTAAACATTGGAATTAGGTGATAACATGAAGACTTATTGACTTTTCAATCCGAAAAAATCGACTTAGGAGTCTTGTGTTCTCCATAGCCTATGAATAAAATATTGAACAGTCTCTTTTAATAAAATAGTGAACAGTCTCTTTTAATAAAATAGTGAACAGTCTCTTTTAATAAATTATTGAACAGTCTCTTTTAATAAAATAGTGAAAAGTCTCTTTTAATAAAATAGTGAACAGTCTCTTTTAATAAAATATTGAACAGTCTCTTTTAATAAAATAGTGAACAGTCTCTTTTACTAAAATAGTGAATTGTCTCTTTAAAATATAATGAAATAAAGTTCCTTTCCTGGATAATCTGTATCTGTAGGTTAGCTCTTGTTTAATTCTATAATTATAAAAAGTATTTATCAATAAATTATAATATTAAATCAAAAAAGCAAATCCTTAAAATCCTTTTATAAGTTATATCCTTTTTAAATGTAGAAAAACCATTTATTGAGAACAATTTTTGCTGTTGTTTTTTTGCTTTTTAGTCATTAAACAGAGAGACTGTCTAGGTGACATATTTGAACCGAGAGTGCAGTGTCATAGAAAACAATTTTAGGATCCATTAAATACCAATGAATCGTTTTAATGGTGCAGAATTTCTATGTGAAAGCGTAAATTCCTTTGTAAAATTTCACAAGAATTGGGTTGGTCGACAGAAGACACGTTTTTTTACAATTATAAAATAACCCAGACTAAACATGTCCTTTACCTTGAATGATCTCCACAGTTACTCTCATCATAACCATCCTCACAGTCTGCTATACCATTACACCGCTGCTCCTCAGTGAAACAGCCCTAAACACACCACAATCTAAAAGTTGCATTTTCCGAACCGGTACAACATGTATATGCTTTCTGTTGTACTGTCTAGTCTGAACTACCCATTTTAAAGTAGACTCAGCTCGTTTTATGCAACAAATGTAGCCTGTCAAGAATGAAGATCACTGCAGTGAACAGTTTTCAAAAATTTTCATTTAAATTAACTAATTGAATGTAGTTCTTGTTTTTCTAGATTTGAAAATTGTTCGAATGATTTTTATCGTGGCTTTTAATTTATCATCAACACTATCAAAACTATCATCGATACTGTTGATACTGTTGATACTGTTGTTACTGTTGATACTGTTGATACTGTTGATACTGTTGATACTGTTGATACTGTTGATACTGTTGATACTGTTGATACTGTTAATACTGTTGATACTGTTAATACTGAATTATTTCTGTTGATACTATTGATACTGTTGCTTCTGTTGATATTAATAGTAATACTTATACTAATACTAATACTAATACTAATACTAATACTAATACTAATACTATTACTATTACTATTATTATTATTATTATTATTATTATTATTATTATTATTATTATTATTATAAGAAGATTTTACTGTTAACATGCAAGGGTTGAGTCCTGTAGTATTGGCGCAGTATCTTGTTAATGGAGTTTGAGGGATTCCAACATAATCTGTGAAAACTGAAATATTTATAGAATTAAGAAAATTGATTGTAAACCATTTTAAGAATACAAATACTAATAATTGATAGGCTTTTGTAATTAGGTGAATATTGAAAACAGAAGCATTTTTCCGGAAACCCTCATCCCATATATTTTGGTTTCCTGTGTATACCTATAAGATCTTGTAGTTCGAGGGTTCTATTACAGTATATTTTGGTTCCCTGTGTATACCTATCAGATCTTGTAGTTCGAGGGTTCTATTAGAGTCTATCCCGTAATCCATCGCAGGGTAGTAGGTCACAGAGTCAGGTATTTCTCCCTCTCTAGGTATTGGAAAAAATTACTTTTAAAAACAAATCTTGAAAATTCCATCCAAATCTATTGTGCTGCTTCTATTCACCCTGATATTAGAAAGGTTAAACAAAAATCTAGAGTCAAAGAGAAGGATTCAGACCAATTTTTAAAGACTAATGCTTTCTATTAATTGTCTATTTCGGATTTAAGGAGAAAATTGATCCACTACAATATGTTATTTCTCATGAGTATTACAAATATCATTTAAGGTTAAACAAAAAATGACAACCTAAGAATAACAAGATATATGGTAAGGATTATATCGGACTAATAGGACTTTTGCAGACTATAAGAGGAAAACAGGGATTAGTGGCAAACAAGGACAGAAGGACTTTGATCACTAATGGATTACAAAAAACTGCTGTAGACTGTAATAAGGGACTTATACATAGTGAATAGTCAGGGATTAACAGACACCAATAAATACATGATAAACTCCAGAAGAATAGAATCATTTTACCGCTTCACGCACATGTTTAATTAATTTACTCATGTCGTTCATTTTAAACCAGTTAGAAGTATATATTTTTTAAACACAAGAACAAGCCATGGTTATTATAAGAATTTGGTATGTTATTTTTATTATTAACCCCCCGGTACCCCCTCCCCCCAAGCCCTTCAAAGAANATGTTTATGTTTATGTTTATGTTTATGTTTATGTTTATGTTTATGTTTATGTTTATGTTTATGTTTATGTTTATGTTTATGTTTATGTTTATGTTTATGTTTATGTTTATTTTGATGTTTATGTTTATGTTTATGTTTATGTTTATGTTTATGTTTATGTTTATGTGTATGTTTATGTGTCCAGCACCTGATCTGGAAATCTTGATTTTCTCGAGGATGAAACCATAAATGCCGCACCAGGATGACCTTTCAATGCGATCTCAACTACAAAAAAAATAAAAAATAAATAGTCAATATTTAGCCTAAAAAATGTACGTCATCTCCAACCAAACTTTTAACGGTAAGTACCCATGTGAAACTATTGCAACATTTAATTCTAGTTTTCTATAAAACTACGTTAGCAATTCATTAAATCCGAGGCCGAATTAAAAAAATTTTGGCCGCGGCTGTAATTTGAGACGCGGCTCAAATATGGTTGGTTCAACGTAATATTGTATTGAATGTTTTACGATTGAAGCTGGGGCTCAATTAAAACCGTTTATGGTGGATTTGAGCCACGGCTCAAATTCATTAAATTCGGACTCCTATCTCTTTGTTGGCAACTTTACTATCAAAGTGTTTGATATTTGTAACAGTTTATCTGAAATTCCAACATTACCTGTTCTAAGTGTATGATCTTTCTTCTGTGTTAAAGTGAGTTCAATATCGTGTCTACAAATTAACATCATGTTAGAGATATAAGTAAAATAAAAATAAAAAATAAAATATTTTCGGAAAGAAGTTCCATTTTGGTTTTGAAGACATGAACGTTTAAATCGAAAAGAAGTTTAATTTATTCCCGTATTCATTCTCAGCTGGGAACTTTTTTGTTGGAAACTCATTATAGCGATATCCACTGTGGACACTTTTAATTTAAGGATCTAAAAAAAACATAGAAACTGTTCCTTTAATACTATAAACTATCCCTTTAATACTATAAATTGTTCCTTTAATACTATGAACTCCAGTTCCTTTAACACTATAAACTGTTCTGTTAATACTATAAACTGTTCCTTTAATACTATAAACTGTTCTTAATACTATTAACTGTCCCGTTAACACTAAACTGTCCCTTTAATACTATATACTGTTCTTTAATTCAATAAATTGTTCCTTTAATACTATAAACTGTTCCGTTAATACTATGAACTGTCCCTTTAACACTATAAACTGTTCCTTTAATACTATAAACTGTTCCTTTAACACTATAAACTGTCCCTTTAATACTATAAACTGTTCCTTTAATACTATAAACTGTTCCTTTAATACTATAAACTGTCCCTTTAATACTATAACTGTCTCTTTAATACTATAAACTGTCCATTTAATACTATAAACTGTCCCTTAAATACTATAACTGTCACTGTAATACTATAAACTGTTCCTTTAATACTATAAAATGTTCCTTTAATACTATAAACTGTTTCTTTAATACTATAACTGTCCCTTTAATACTATAACCTGTTCATTTAATACTAGAAACTGTTCCTTTAATACTATAAACTGTCCCTTTAATACTATAAACTGTTCCTTTAACACTATAAACTGTCCCTTTAATACTATAAACTGTCCCTATTGATGATCGTTAAATAAAAATAATTATATTATTGTGAGTTGTGACGTTATTCTAAGAATCCTGAAACTATTAGAAAATCTTAATGATAATTAGAAAATTCTAAAATAATTCAATAACCTTGAAATAATTAGAGAATTATTGAAATAATTAGAGAATTATTGAAATAATTAGAGAATTATTGGAATACTTAGAGAATTATTGGAATAATTAGAGAAGTAAAACAATAATTAAATAATCCACTTGCATTGGAAACTCTAATGTAAGCGTGCCATTAATTATTCACAATTTTATTATTATTCTAAAAAATTGTCGAATTAGATCTTGTCATTTCCATATCTTTGAATGACACTTCTAAAGTGAACACCACAAGAAGATAATTAAGATTTAACTCATTTCATGCAAAAAATATTGCGCTCTTTACAATGTTAAAGAGAGTGGCCGGCTAGACATGGTATTTGATCTAAGAGTGCAGTATTGTAGACAAATCATATTTGATACCAATGAATCGTTTATATGGTGTAAAATTAAAAAAGAGCTAAAGTATCAAATGAAAAATATAAATACTACTGCACTCTCAACTTAGCTACCATGTCTAGCCTGTTACTCCCTTTAATGACAGTTTTCCAATATTTGGTTTACCTTCTCAGTTTTGAAGTAGACAAGAATATGGAAACCTGGAGCCATTTCAGTGTTAACAACAACACTAGAAAAACAATTTTTAATTTAGAAAGTTTTGATAAATTCTTGTTATAAAGTTTTAAACTATTATATCAGGATATTCATCTTAAAATTTCAATTTATTTTTTTATATTTTTATTTTGTGAGTATTCCAAAAATATCATTTAACACATTAAGGATTTGAACCTTTGTCTCACACCTCAAATTTTCTAATCCAACATCTTCGCAGCCTGATGGTTTAAACATTTCATATTTAAACTTCGTTTATTTGATCAAACATAATTCATTGCTTGAAATATCTTAGGCGACATTGGTTTGCAAAAATAAAGGCATTAGAAAATGAGTTTGTGGCAAAGACTAAATTTCTAAATTTTTTTCAAAAAAAGTAGTTTTCTGAACTGCCAGAGGATCTTTTATACAAAAAACGTTCCACGTCCCCCCCCCTTTCCTTCCTTAGAAAAGGCCTTAGAGTTAATGTGTAGGGTTGCAATGCATAAGTTCATTTACCAATTTTAATGCCGGCTCATTAAAAAATTGGACCGCTAACTTTTTTTGTTTTTACAAACATTATTGTACAGACACATGTTTATACATCCATTTTTCAAGGGCTTTTCAAAATGTAACTTTTAGTGCTGTAGCTGCAGCCACACAAAAGCTATGAACTATTTAATATGTTTTATATGCGGACCGGACTTTTTAACGCCCCTACGCATTAAAAAGCAAATTTACAAAACAATCCTTTAATTTACTATTCCTTAAAGTTCTAAAAAAGTCATGTTATTTTGCTCCTGCACCCCCTGTACCTGAAAGTGTATGTGTAGGAGAATATCCTGCCTGAGAACTCTCTGCCTCGTGTTAGAATTATATTTTTAGAAATAATAATCCAGTCAAAATATTCAATAACCTGGGTCATCTTTACATGGAACACTACATACTCTCCTAAAATATATAAATATATTTAGAAAAATATTATTTTCAAAGATAAAATGCTTTTACTCATAAGTTTTTTTAGTGTTAATTGTTATCTTTTAATTTTCCCAAATGTTAATTTTCCAAAAGTTTGTGTTTGCAAATGTTCATTTTCCAAATGTTTGTGTTTACAAATGTTCATTTTCCAAATGTTTGTGTTTAAAAATGTTCAATTTTCATATGTTTGGTTTTACAAATGTTCATTTTCCATATGTTTGTGTTTAAAAATGTTCATTTTCCTTATGTTTGTGTTTAAAAATGTTCATTTTCCTTATGTTTGTGTTTAAAAATGTTCATTTTCCTTATGTTTGTGTTTAAAAATGTTCATTTTCCATATGTTTGTGTTTAAAAATGTTCATTTTTCATATGTTTGCGTTTAAAAATGTTAATTTTCCAAATGTTTGTGTTTAAAAATGTTCATATACCCAACTTATACTTTTTTTAATTTAATTATTTCAAATATTTTCAAAAATGTTCTCTTTATACTTCATATAATAATATTTGTTCAAAATGTAAAACTATCCTTTGTAAAAATGCACGATTGGTTAGGATCTTCAATATTTCTGATGCCACAAATATTAAGAGATAAGCTGATGAGAAGCCTATCTATCTATCTAGAACTTGAAATGAATAAATATTGTAAGTAATTAGCTTACCGACTCTGATATTGGTATTGCTGGTTCTTACGTGAATAAAGTTCTGGTAAGGAGCGTAAGCAGCATAAACTAGAAGAAAAGTAGATAACACTGCAAACAGTTGGAAGTAGAAGGTACGAATTTTTGACCTTAAGGGACAGACTGGCTATGTAAAATAGCTGAACTGAGTATGCAGTGTTGTAGTTTAGACAAATTCTTTAGGATTCATTTAAGACATCTAAAACTTTTTAAAGTTCTGTAAATCCTGAAATTGAGCTCAAAGTCGACGTTCCAAATCGTACTTTTAGGCGGATACGTTTTCAGAATTGTTTTTTTAATATTAAATCATACTGCCCGCTCCGGCATACTCTTGTATTCAAGGGACTGTTCACGGAACGGTCCAGGATACAACAGCATAAAAATCTATTCTACGCCGACGTATATTTACAGAATTTGAACACAAAGTCGACTTTCAAAATCACCTTTTTGGGTGGATACATTTAAAAAATCTTTTTTTTTAATTATATAGTAACGACAAAAAAATGTAAACAAAATAATACAGTAAACTAATTAGTTGTTTAGGAACAGGTTGAGAAAATAAAAATTAACTCTTATCGTCGAAAATAAGTAATCTTATTCAATTATTAGTTGTTATAAACTGTCTTTAATCACAAAGAATTTCTGCAGATTTTCTGGAATTTTTATCATAAACACGACATTTGGAGAATTTGAAGAAATCTGCGAACAAATTCATAAAATAAGAAATTCAATATAAGAAAATTATTAATTCTAACTTTGATTTATTGACGAACTTCTTTTCAGAAATATGTTCCTAAGCATCTAATTAGTTTATTATAAAATATTTTTCGTCGTCGTTATTAAATAATTTTAAAAACCCGATTCTGAAAACGTACCTACCCAAATTCATAATTTTGAACGTCGACTTTGCGCTCAAACTCAGTAATTATACATCGTGGAAACGTTTTTATGTCTCAAATGAATACTAACCCTGCATACTCAGTTTAACTACCTATCATAGCCGCTCTGTCCCTTTCAAGATTCTGAATCTGAGTTCTGATCAAGTATGAGAGCAAATTTAACCGGTTCTATATTTGGAATTCAACAAATTTTATTCTTCTCAAATGCTCTACAATTATATTTGATTAACAAACAAATCATAATAAACGGGCAAAGAAAGAAACATGATGCAACATCCGTTTCATATGAAAAACCGGTATTTGAGGGAAAAAACAATTTCAAAAATGTTTACAGCATAATCTAGCTTAAACTTAACTCGGATAACATTTTAATAGCATTCAACGTGTATTTCCCAATTGGATTCAGATGCGCAATTTTAATATTTTTTCCTTGTGGGGGGGGGGGGGGGGGGTAATATTGGTCAAAAATTAAACATTTAACTGCAAAGGATGATTTCAAGTGCAGACCCTCCATGCAAAGATGGCAACTGCCTGATTCACAACAATTGTATTCTGGAAACCTTTATTAGAACAGAAATGTGGAAGGTATTGTAGTTATTCTAGGTTTAAAAGTGTTTCATTCCTATTTGTTTCAATTAGTAGAAATGCAGTAGTCACTTCTGTAGAAAAACCATAATAGAAAGTAATCAGTTTTAAAAATTCTAAACATCGATGGCTATAATTCATAAGATAAAGCTGTTTAGGGTACAGATGTAAGTCGGACATTGTCAGTTTCGCCTGTAGGGCCACTTGAAATCACGTTTACAGCCCCTTTAATAATCCTGAATGTCACCTGGAAGAGTTGCTGTTACTTCCCCATTATCGTCATCTCGATATGTCGCTTTTATTTGAATCTCCTAAAGTACGCACAGGGTTACCCACAAAGAATGATACTGTAAAACCGATCTAACGCTTTTAACATGAGAAAATCTCAAGGTTAAATCAAGTCTTGTGCAAAAAAAAGGTTTACAGTTGACTAAGTAATCATAACTATAATGAAACAGACAGTGACAATTCCGTAAAGTGTCCCTGAACATCCTTAGAATCAAGAACAATATCTTAAAATCTATGATTTACTGACAAAACATAAAATAAAATATTTTATTGTAAAAGTCCCATACCTGGTGGAATTTTTTGGAATCCGTAAAATTATTATTTTAAAATCATATCAATTTCCAACGTAAGTTGAATAGCTTTATCTAAACCATATAAAATTCCCCCCCCCCCTCACTTAAAAAGGACAAATAGCATTTGCAAAAATGATGCGTTGCCCCTGAATTTCTTGTTTTGATCTCCTCCCACTGCAAGTGCAGTGCACAGATTTGACGCATCAGATATGGCGGTTCCTGGTCCATATATTTCTTGATATCCATAAACGAAAAAAAAATTCAACTAACCTCAGTGTCATCCGGTGTATTTATAGTTATCCTATGTACACCTGTAGCTCTGTACATGTGATACAACAATTTTATATTTACATGCAAATACAACTTTAACTTTCAGACAATTGTAGTTTTATTCTTCTTTTTCATTAAACGCATAAGTATATGAGACAAAAATCATAAAATTAATCTATACATGGTAGTATTGGGATCGAAAGTGACAGCTTGCTGGGACAAGGAACAAACAGTTAAATGTGTGCACCTCAAACTCAAATTATTTAATCCTTATATCTTTGTAACCTAATGTTGAAGATATTTTTTTGGTTATTTTGGTTTATTGTTATATTTCCTAAATTCTTTAAATGATTCCTCGACAGCGTACATATCCATACAGAACTCTTCATGTTCCTGAACAATTACAAATTACAAATACAACTGAATAGTAAATACGGAAAATTGTATATGTAGATTAAAAGAATATTTAGCAGACTCATATAACCCGTATAATATATTGTAAAAAATCTATGAGATTTTTCCGAAAATTTAACTCATGAATTGTTTGATCAAATTAATAAAACTGAAATTTTTTACCAATGTTTCTCCATTGCTTAAAAATCATGGTGAATTAGTTTTTACCATAAAAGCAGAATAAATAGAAAATAAGACATTAAAGGAGACTATACGTACACGTCATTTCAACTATCAATTTCAAGAGGGTTAGATTGCAATACCTGATTTATACAGGGGTCCATATAATTCCCAAAATGGCTGATTTTCTCGATCCCAAAATAATTTTTTGCCCCCAACTTAAAAAAATTGCCCCCAATTGTAAAAAAATGCCCCCAATTAAAAAACATTTTCAACAAATTCCACAAACACATTTGCCCCAAATGTATTTGTATTCTTACGTCTGTATGATCTGTAAAGTATGCATTTGTACACTTACGTCTATATGATCTGTAAAGAATGTATTTGTACACTTACTTCTATATGATCTGTAAAGAATGTATTTGTACACTTACGTCTGTATGATCTGTAAAGAATGTATTGGAGTTCTCAATATCTTCAACCTATAATCTCGAACATATTAGATCATCATAAATCCAATCAAATAACTTTTAATTTCGTAATTTTTAAATGATGAATATAGATTATCTAATGCAAGTTTTTTTATTACCCATTAATTTTTCTCATAATAAAAAGAAAATTTAAATTTAAAATTGACTTGTCCAAAGGAACTGAGTTTATGCCACAAACTTAAATTTTACAATCTTTGCAACCTAATTGAATAAACCTTTGATAATTCAAAAATAATTATTTTCAAAAATCAAAATCTACGAAATAGGGTTGCAGGAATTAGAAAAGCAAAGTCTGCCATGTGTGCCCCTGGCAAGAACTCAGTTGGCTTAATTATTTTCTAAAAATACCAAATCATTTTTTTAAATTTTTGTTCAAGGTTTAGATCTGATATTCCTCTGCATCTTCAAACTGCTTATCATATTCCCTGAAAAACATCTTTTTAAACGTATTTGATAAATAATTAATGATCTATTACATTACAAGAGGTAATACAGGAGGTATCCAATAGTTTTAAAATAATACATTATCAAAATGACAATGCATTTAAAATCCTAAAAATTTAAAGAAAACGAGCTTTTTAATCAAACCCCCAGAAATCATTAAATCATCAACATTTTATATGACAATTTTTTAAAAGATTTCAAAAAATGTTATTGCAAACATTTTTATTATTAAATTAAATCAATTATTAAACAATTTTGAAAAGTGCTCGACAGCTTTCAATTAAGATTATTTTTAATGAAGAATAAATATTGAGTTTACCGTATATGGACCAGATCTCTAAATTTACACACATCTCCCAGTTTTGGCGGAATCCTGAATACAAATAAAATCAAGTTGAATAAATGTAATGCAAGAAATCTATGTTATGAAGCCTAGAAAATTTCTCAATAATTCTGAAATCTCAGTTCAACTACCAAACATTACCGGTCACTCCCTGACGTAAGAATCTTCCAATTTGTGACTAAAATTTAAAAAATGTTCCTGTAACTGAAAAAATATATTAGATTACAAAATACAAAAACAAAATTATTCATCATTAGGGAGATTTTTTAATCAAAAGTAAAAATGAAGAAGATAATCATTCCACAGGATTTGAGTTATTCTTGTAAGTATGGAGCTTATACAGCTTTAAACTTTTTAAATCCAGGACTGCAAAAACTTATCATTTGGTTGGTAAACTAAAAGTTGGTCCGTTCTCAAACATTGGACCGTTCTCAAAAGTTGGTTCGTTCTCAAAAGTTGATCCTTTCTCAAAAGTTGGTCCGTTCTCAAAAGTTGGTCCGTACTCAAAAGTTAGTCCGTTCTCAAAAGTTGCTGGCCATATGGATCAGAATGTGGTGTATTATTTACCTCATAGTTCGTAGATTTCTGAGTTCTCCGTTCTCCATTCGTATTTTAGTTTCTATAATCAGAGTAGACTGTTCTAGTGTATATGGGTCCAACGCAACCTCGAAAAAAATGATAAACTAATTTCTGTTTGATTGTATAATTGTATGATACTAATGTATGATAATAACTCGAAACCACTTGACCGATTTGCCTTAAACTTTTATTTGGGAACTTGGGAGATCCACGGCCAATGTTCTCAGCTTTGTTTAAAATGCTGAGTTTAATTGGTTGATTTTTATTCCTAGCAGAGCTGGATTCTACTCATTATAATATTATCAAAGGATAATTTTATCAATTCTGCCAATATTAATTTTAGATGTGGTAAATTTTGGTGCTTTTTAATAATTCAAAAATACCTGATCGCTATATTTTACTGAGAGTTGAGTTTCAAACACCATTCCAGGTTTAAATACTTGAACGCCTTGACCGACAAACCTTAAATATTCCAGGTTTAAATACTTGAATGCTTTGACCGACAAACCTTAAATATTCCAGGTTTAAGTACTTGAACACCTTGGACTGACAAACCTTAAATATTCCAGGTTTAAATACGTAAACGCCTTGACCGACAAACCTTAAATATTCCAGGTTTAAATACGTGAACAACTTGACCGACAAACCTTAAATATTCCAGGTTTTAATAATTGAAGACCTTGACCAACAAACCTTAAACATTCCAGGTTTAAATAATTAAACACCTTGACCAAAAAACCTTAAGTATTCCAAGTTTAGTTTTTGGGCTTTGTTGTCAACATTAAAAATCTTATTTTTTTAGCAAAATCGTTGAAAAAACACGTTAAGGGTTTCCAACGCAAGTGGATTTTACTTGCACACAATTGCGAGCCCTGTAAACTCATTGCAATTCCGCTTATTTCTGCGCCCTGTAAACTCTGAGCAATTCCGCTCATTTCTGCGCCCTGTAAACTCTGAGCAATTCGCGCAATTCTGCACAATTTCGCGCAATTCGAGAACAGTTGCACGCAATTCCGCAGAGTTGCGAGCAATTTCGCGCAATTGCACGCATCATAATTCCTATTGGAAACCCTAAAAACGGCGTACTGATTTGAAGACCAAAATTAATCAGTTCCAGTGAAAGTCAAAGTAAATGTCAAAATTAACACTTAGAAAAATGACGATATCTTCCTTAGTGTTATTTAGATGAAGGTTAAAAGGAAACGGATATCAATTTTGAACATGTAGGGTGTTCAACTATGTGCTACATGAACTACATCATGTTGCTATAAACCTGGCTCGTCATAGACCATCAAACCTATCTATTTTTGTAAAAATAGGGGACTGTACCTGATATCTAATGTAGGATCTATAATCCTAGTTATTGACCAACCACGCTGTGTATTGTTGTAGAAGAAATCTGTTACAAAAGCCTCGGCAAGTACTTGAACACCCTGCATCACGAAGAGTAAAAATCTCAAATATAAGAATTTTACGACTTTTCAAGAAACTGAAATTGTAAATTTGGATATGGTTTTAGTTTTAAAGTTAATCTTTCAATTTATTTAAATCTTGTTCATTTTATTTAAATTTTATGTGGTAAATGTGGAACATAGCTTGGTTTGTTTTTGAGGTTTTTAAACATTTAAAAGGGATCAAGAAAATACCGTAAACTTCAATACAGTATTTTGTTAAAGTTTTGCTGTTAAACTTTGAAATATTTTTATCATAAGAGGAAAAATAAAGGGACAACTAACTAAAAACGAAATCTTTTATTTTAATTTTGACAACTTTGAAAAATTTGTAGTTGTAAACTTGTAAATCAAATAAAAGAAAGAATTTTTTTTAAAAAAATTGTTTGAAATTTTTTTCTTAAATGATCGCCAGAAGAAAGGGCAAAATATTTGAAACTAAACAAGATTATCTAAAGAAACAACTGGGTGATCGTTTCATTCATAGCATTGCATTTATTTTTATACAAAGAACTGATATACAACGGCTCAGTTTCATTTGCCATAATACTTTTGCCATATTTACATTTACCATAATAAAATTGCCATAAGTAACACTTGCTATGAATTACACTTGCCATAATTACTCTTGCTTTACTTCAGTAAACGAGGTATTAGCTACATAGGTGTAGTTGTTGCTGTCTCGAACCATTGCTTTACCCTTACTTGTGGTCTCAAAGGTCACAAAGGGTCCTCCATTGTGAGAAAATATGGAGCTGAACTTGTGTAAATTTCCCGCATTTAAAATGATGACCAAAAGTAATTATAGCAAGTGTAATTATGGCAAGTGTAACTATTCTAACAAGTGTAACTTATGGCAAGTGTGACTTATGGCAAGTGTAACTTATGGCAAGTGTAACTTATGGCAAATTTATTATGGCAAGTGTAATTATGGCAAAAGTATTGTAGCAGGAAAATGATGTTTTGATCTTTCCTGCGACTGTAAATAGCATTTTGTTTGTCATTATTTTTACCCTTCGTTCGCAATCAACCCCATTTTGCCTCCCCCCCCCCCTTTTTGAT